GAAAAAGGAAACATGGAAAGTCACCTTCTGTACATCAGGATTACATTATCTTATTATAGTACACACACATATACCAGGCACGTAGCCAGGATTTTGATTCAGGGGGGGGGGGGGGGGGGCGCCCATGACAGAATGCTGTATGAGGAGGAGGCCCCAGCAAAGTGGAAGATTTCGGGGGGGGGGGGGGGGGGGGGGCCTGGGCGCCATGGGCCCCCGGACCCTCCCCCCCTGGCTACCTGGCTACGTGCCTGACATGTACTTTCCCAGGTTCTCCTCGTTGATCCGCACTCTTTCTTTGCTGTTAATGTGACCCTGAGCTTCGAGAATGCCCTTTCCAAGCTAACACTGGACACTGGCAGGCTGAGGAGATGAAGCATTGCCTGAGCCAAAATCGGCCAATCAACCAATTGTGACCGCCAAAAGAGACACGGTGCGACGTTTTGAAGCTCAACACAACATGAAGAGCTTGCATCAAGTCAGTCCTCCTTACGAGTTTGAAAACACGCTCGTACATGGTGAAGTCATGGGGCATTTCGGACTGCACGTTCCAATCGATGATGCGCACATTAAACCAAAACGTCGTGATGGCACCCATGTATCCCATACATTCGAACAAGTTTCGATAGACACTGTCGTTCTACTTTTTCACCACGGCTCTGCGGTACGACATGAAGGTCAAAGTGACCTTTTCCGGTTAAAACTGAATTTTAGAAAATGGATTTGACATATTTTTATTGGTTTAAATCGAAAATGCCGAACCTAAAAACTGACCTTTTTCGGTTATAACAGAGTTTCCGAAAAGGGATTTGGCGTGCTTTTATCGCTTTTTATCAATTTAAACCGAAAACTCCAAACACTATTTATAATGCATGGCAGGCCTTTAGCTATGCACCTACATTATTTAAAAAAATATTTTTTGTTGGAAATGGCCTTAACGACCTGTAAGAAATAACCAAATCAGGCAACGCTATTTTTATAACTTGAAAACTAATTGAGATATTTTAAAACTGATTTCATGTTTAATTGAGGAATAAGAAACACATACACACAGTGATTTTCATTAGAATAGCTGCAAGAATAAAATAGTCCATTTGACAACCAGCTAAGACTAACAGCTCTACCTTCAAAGCAAGCCCTTTGCCCTTGCTAACACAAGTGCAAACACGCAGGAACGCGCCAGCAAAGCACTGCGGAAGCCAGCCAGCTCGCGCTAAAGGCGGAGCTTCTAGTCTTAAAAGGTGAACGGAGTATAGTGCTTTGCGAGCAGTATACAACTAATATTCATCCTCACTTAAATATCCTCCATGTAACACCCAACCCCATGCTCTTTTATACATTTCCATCTAAACAAACAAACAATCTTGCCCCACGGCTCCACGCAGCCAGCACGGATAGCTGGGCCTGCACGGCTTCGCCGTAGACCCGCGAGACAGACCTTTGAGATAGTATATCTACAAACGTTCAGAACATATTAAAAAGCAAAACAGATACTGCCTCGTAATTCAGGAACACCTCCTTCATTAAAGACCGTCGTCACCGTAAAATCGAGAAAATGTGACGGAGTTACCTTCTAGGAGTCCAAAGGATTGGGCTGCTCTTGCTTGCGCGCACCAAAAAGCAAGCGGCGCATTTAAGCCAACCAGTGGAGACATCATGATTGCAACGTCGGCCTACCACGTCAATTTCATGAATGACATTCACATAGAAACGTCTCAGATGCGGACTTGAAAAGGCTGTTCAAGATTCTAGAACTCTGGTGATAAGATAAGGAAACAAGATTTATGTCCCACTTGCTGCCAATCACGCGAAGCTCCTGGGACGTACCACGCAAACACATGTCCTCATGCATGACGACGTGCACAAATAATTAAATTTAGAGTGTGGTACCAATAGTTTTATGCTGTGTCTCATATCTTGTTACATGAAGAGACACCTTAATGCATGCCGTAAAAGAAGAAAAAGATTTCGTGGCTCTCAGCAGGTGATCTCGGGCAAAGTGCCAACTTGCAGATTCCCAGGTTCATTTCTAAGTCGAAAAATCCCAATCCTCCGTCCTCTCTTTTTCTTTTAAAATTTTCTGTCTGGAAAAGTCAGGTGTGTGCAACCTTAATATAAAAATAAAACGAGGATTCCTATAGTCTTTTGCAACTCAAAAAGGTAGGGAGAGGCGAAGGAAGGCCGGGGAGGAAGAAGCAGATGGAACACTGAAGAGGGGAGGTTCCCCCCCCTCCTCTCCAGTGATCCGTCTGCTTCCTCCTCCGCAGCCTTCCTTTCCCTCCCCCTACCTTTTAGAGAAGGTAGGGTGAGGGAAAGGAGCTGAATAACAAAGGCGACCAAACGCTAAAAGGCTGGTACATGGGCAACAACATCTTCAAACATTATCTCCGGTTTTTTGACAAGTTGTCCCAGTGACGAATCGCCCTATGACAAATTGTCCTATGTGACGCTGACGAATTGCCCTGCCGAGTTTTTCTATGACGAATTGCCTGTCAAAACGCAATACGCAATTCGTCGAAAGGCAATAAAAGTCAGGAACACATAGAATAGTTATTTAAATCAGCTTCGAAATCAAAAATTTGTTTAAGGCTCTCCCAAATCACTTATACAAGTGCGTATCAAGGATAAAAACGCCGGCAAAGATTTGCAGAACATCTTGGAAATAATTTGATGGTTCATTTACTTATGTATTTCTTTAAGGTTTATCGGTCCTTTATTTATGTTGTCAAATCTTCAGTCAGTAATTAAATATCATCAATATGTTTACTTTGAAGTTCACAGAACCGCTTGAGACCGACATGGGAGAACAATACTTGAAAATACGCCAACTCTTGAGTATGTGAAAACATGATGCTTCATTCACTGTTTGGCAGTGCAAAACACTTGTAGCGGGGTATGCCAAAAAGAACTTTGTGCTCACATGATAGATCTGAAGACAAATACACAACATGTGCAGTAACAGAAAGATAAAATATAACCTTCAAAAGAATTCAATACGCGATGCCTCACTGCAAAAAGAAATACGCAGGTACGTAATATGATGTTGCTATCGTACGCCACAACTTTACGAAATCCAGAGCAACTACCCAAAGAATTTTTCACGCTAAAACAATTTTGTAAACTAGAAATGATATGTCCAGAAAACTAGGGAATTTCAGGTAAAAAATAAACCCAGAAGAACACTTCTCCGGTTTCACTCAGAAATAAACTTAAAAAAGCAGAACCCTCGTTATGTCACATATTTGGTGCCAGTGGGCAAAAACAAACTTTAAGATGCTCTAAGCCCGTCACCTCATTGTTGGGTCCACAGGGCAATGCACTCAAGTGCCACTCACGATAACATGGCACACCTGCCCCACTTCGAGCACCATGAATGCCAATAACGCCCGACAGAGGTGGCAAGCTGTGCTCTTTTCAACATAATGGTCATCAGCCCATGAGTGCAGTTGCCCCCTGGGTAACGGTCACCATTACCATTTGACGAGTGCTACCCAATTTTCTGTGGTTTCAGAGGAGACCAGCTGGACATGGGAGACGGGCTACTGGAAACCAGGAAGACAGCACTGTGTGAAATTTAGATGTAAAGATTCTCGGCTTAACAATTTTTTTTATCCTCGGTGGATGGATGAATTAGGGCAGAAGAGTTCAATTCGAAAAAATCCTTGATCCACTGTGCCTAAATTATAACTAAATTTTGTCTTTGTTTTATTTTTTTTTTGTCATCTTCCTGAGCCGTTTTCACCATTTCTTCAGCAATCTTAGTTCACTTAACCACTTATTCCTTTATCAACCCCTCCAATCCCAAAAAGATGAAGAAGTCTGCTTCAGTCTAAGTATGTACCAGACGTACCATACCTACAACGCTCTGCTGTTACCTTTGCCTGTCTCCATAGTGAACAATTTGTATCTGCCTCGTCAGATCTTGACCTGAAAGTCCCGGCCCTCAATACCCGTCTGCCACACAAAGAGTCAACTTATTTTTGATTTGTCAAAAACTTATCTTTTCTTAATCCAAACACTTCTGCATATTAGGCTTCTTTTCCAATCTCAACTCTCGTATCTCTTTCAGCTTCCTTCACAGCCCTCTTAAGGGCCGCCCTGCAAAACATTTTTCAACCAGGGTGAAAATCCTCCTTGTCACACTTTCCATTTTCCCCTCTTATCCAACCCCAAGACACAGCAACAAAAAAAGCCCCCCCCCTCCCCCCCCCGCCATCAAGACAGCTGTGGGAGAGGGGGAAATGGGAAGGGTGGCGAGAAGGATTTTCACCTTGGTTGAAAGTATTTTACAGGTCGGCCTTTAACAGATTTTGACCTCTTCATTCTTTTCCAGCATTAGCCCAGTACGTAGTAAAATTGGGTTGTGTGTATGTTTATACAGCCTAGAACTTGGTCTGCCTCACAGGGGCGACGAGTCTCCCAGCTGTAGATGAGCAATTTAGCCAGTGCAGTACAACCGCTAGCCTGGGGTCTTTAACGTGCACCACGCAGTAGTGATACACGACCGCACGCCGGTACGATGCTTATCCAGATCGAAACGGGCAGGGGTGGGGCTTGAACCTAGGATCCCTGGGTTTTGCAGCGCGAGCTGTCGCTCCACGCGCGTCGAGCTGGGTGTGCGCTTCAGCCCACTCGGCCACCGATCCCCCCCCCCCCGTACGTAGTAAACAGCCCACTTCCCGTGTTCTATCTACACACCCTTCATGTATAGAAGCCAGACATTTTGCTTGCCCAACGTTAATTTGCGGCTGCCACGAACCTCTCCTCAAACTTAATTTCGCTGCTTGCCTCGCTCTTCTCGAAGAAAAACCCAATCACCCTGCACATTTTCATCTGGGCTCTTAGCTCCCCCGGTGGAGGATCGGCGAAACGGTTCGGACCCCAAGGAGTCTGTGGACAGCTGTACAAAAAGTGCTGCTCTAGACCCTGACCGCCTGTAGTCTAGACACCATCACTGTCCTCTGTTTATAAAAAAAAGGTGGAAACTAACAAAAAAAACTCACCATTGCTTGAGGACTGAATCGGTTCCATTTGAATTGCTGCCCAAGGTCAGGTTCGTAGGGAGTTTCGCAAGATGAAGAGGGACGCACAGCACCACTTGAGATGCTAGGAACCAAATTCAATGAGCAATGACAGAAATTAAGAACAAAGTAAGCACACCCTCCAAGCGCATCAAGCTAGTCAGACGCCTATGAGAGTAACCCGCAAAAGACACCAAGGATTTCGTCCATTTCAAAACAACTTTCAAGATAAAGAATGAATGAGGAAATAAAATGCCTGTGTGCCTAGTAATGGGCGGTAGCCTGTGCTATCTAACTTAGAGTTTGAAGGTACCTCACAACAACCTATTCCTTTTTGCATTACCACTACTGTAAAAAATACTAACAGTTAAAGGAGTAAGGCCTTGCGTGATACAAAATTTGAGATAACTATAAGGCTGGAACCCATTAGGTGACCCTATAATAATGCTTAAATTGTTCTGCAAGTTCATTGAACCGTGGGACGCTCGGACCCACCTATTCAGGAAAGTTCAGGAAAACCGCCATGTTCCTCTTTCCACAAAACGTTTTGAGTGTTCCTAAATGTGGGAAACGCACCAGGGAAAACTATTCCTTTATTATTTAATACAATTGAATTAAATTTGCACAGTTTATAACACTAGATCTTCTCAATATAAATCTAGTATTAGTTCTAATATAGCTTGTTCTTTATGTCCTCGATGCACTGAACATGCCAAAAAAACCATGTGCTTACACATAGGTGGGGCATGGCAACTGACTCAAAAACAGCCTACTAAAAACACCAATATGCTCCTATAAAACCACTGTGTGTAATGGACAACGAAAGTAATGAGTGCTAGACCTATTCCATTTTAAAATACTTGATAACAGTGAAAACACCACTTTCAAAGGGCCAACACAAAGGTTTCTTATTCTTAACATTTCCATAAATATAAAAAATATACATTCTAATCAAACCTAGACAGTTACAATCCATATATTCTAAAGCATATGCATGCCAAATTTGGTTGTATAGGACAATATTAAAAACAAAAATTCTTGTTTGTGAAGATGCCCCAAAATTACATAAAGAAAAAAATGTGTTTGGATGTTATCAGAGACGCGTAGCAACACTCTTCCATTGTGGGAAAAATAATTTTTTGTTTAAATTTTCTGAGAGAAACTGAAGCTAGAGAAGACTGCAATGGAGCGGAGACAATGTGGTGGCAACGACAACCATTTGAAGAACCGCACACGCAACAATGGCTCAAATTAATGCAGTTCTGGGCTGCCCGTTTTTAAAATGCTTCTTTGACTAATTTCACTTTATAAACAAACCTCACTATTTTAAAAATAAAATATGAATCAAAGTAAATTAAACATCACAAAACCATGAATTCTATTTTTCTGCAAAAAATTGCCATTCTTCGACCTGCATCTCCCCTTAAAGGGATTCTTCAACAAAATTTGAAATATATCCGTCGTGTTCAAAAGTAGGTTGAATATGATCCACATTATCCGTAAATGACAATCGCACGTTTGTATTTCGAGCCTGGTGGCTGTATTTATCGCTATAAACGGCCCACTCTAGCAAGCGCTCGGAGAAGGCCCAGCTTAGAGCACGTGACATCCGACGCAATCGTGACGTAGGTCGTCTCGGGACGAAAAAAGCTACGGCGAGGCTGACGTCGAGAGGATGGCCTAGTCATTCCAGCCGCCGAAGCCGCTGCTTTTGTACAAATTTTGAGTGACGGGTAAATCTTTTATAATCTTGGAGGGGGACAATAGCTACTTCTGGAACACACAAAAGGGATTCTAGGGAAGACGGGAGTTCCTCCTTCCCCTCTTCTCTCGTCGTGGCCGGAGGCGAACACTCACCGCCATTAGCTGTCAAGGTTCCTAGACGGGCATGACAAATGCGGCATTAGCGACATCCACCAAGTGCTCTTTGCTAATCATTTAATTTGTTTTAAAATTCCTTTTCGTGACCTTTTTAACAAGATATTGGTGTGTTCGATGTGATACTGCTCCTTTGAACACATACAAACCATAAAATAAGCGCCGAAATTTCGTTGTAATATCCCTTAAACCATAACGAGCAATTATATATAGTTTGCAATGAAGCAATATATACTTTCGAAGAAGCTGTACCTGCATCATTGCACCAGGTCTCATGCAGGCAACAGGGAAGACGTTACAGTGCATTCCTAGATATAAACGTATGGTCTAAGCTTCACTGCCGAGTGTTCAGCACTTACGAACCCGAACTGCAAATTATGCAAAACCTGATCATTGCAGCTAGTAATCGCAATAATTTACAGTGTACCCCCCAAAACTATTTCACCGCAGAAATAAATTATGCATTGCCGAGTGCTCAGTATCTGCTCAAGTAGCGGCAATGGTTCAAGCCAGGTGCCAGTTTCAGAACTCCTATCTTATAAAAAGTTATAGGTGATTCTCTGAAAATATTAGTGATGGACCAAATCTGCCGAACTTCAGATTCGGCAAAGTTTGGAAAATGCCGAACTTTTGCAGGAAAGTTCGGCAAAGATTCGGCAAATGTCTGCGCACGCGCGAGAACGTGACGGAGCCAACGGAGCTTTGGATTGCAAATGGATGCCGCGCAGTCGTGTGGTTACCATCGTGCAGTGTAGTACAACCAGCGGTTACGGCGCGGTGTGGGGTAGGGAACACGGTAACTGTGCGTTTGTAAGCAGTGTGGTCCTCTTCAATATTTTCTGCCTCAAGAATAGAAGATCGACCAGTAATTTATGCAGTCCACTGTGCAAGCGACAAATGATGCGGTGCATTCTGAAGCTTGGAGACATTGGCCGACAATTACTTTAAAGCACTCCTCGCAATTATAACAATTTTGTTTTGGGCTCACAATATTGTTTGTGCGAAAACACAATCATATTGCTTTTTCAATTAGTGTTATTTCGCGATTTTCATGTATCTGCATAAAATTAAACACAGAACTATAATGCTCGACGTTGCACATCCGACATTCACTCTCCCTCTCTTCCAAAACGTTTGTGTGTGTCCTAACACCAGAAACAGGCATTTTAAAGGTTAAAAACGAGACGTTGCAAATATGGGACGCACACTTTCATGCAAAGCTGACGTCAAGTTACTCAAATCGGAGAGCATGCATATTTACATTATTATAATTCTCTCTTCTGGTGAAGGCTCAGCAACCGTTGCATTCGTTTTCGCGCACAAAACGGTGACTCCCAGAGAAAGCAAGAACGCAGCGTTATTGCCTTCATTTTAGCAATGTACACACACATGCAGGCTTGCACTGGTGATACCTCAAAACTGAAACTCTCATAGCGTAATTCGTGACTGCGCCACGCTCGCTTTTACCCAACCTAGTTTTCGTGCCACTTCTGCAAGGAATCACTAAAATTGCCAGTATACACACAAAAACGACACTGATACAATTACCTTGCAGAATATCATGTTATTTAGTAAACATGTTGCATTTAAGTTAAGAAAAAAAGAAACATAAAACCTTCTTTTCACCAGAAGAAAAACGAAATATCAACGAGTCTGGTAACAATGTATTTTTGCCGAATCTTTAGAAAAGTTTGGCAAAAGTTCGGCTTTGCCGAATCCCAAGATTCAGCACCGAACTTTCGATTCGGCAAAAGTTTGGCCCATCGCTAGAAAATATAGACAGGAAAACAGGACCCACTCCAGGTTACCGGCGCCATTCAGCTCCACATATTCCGCCACTTTCCCATTGAAAATTTGAGAAGATCAGCTGCAACTTTTTAATCAGAACGGTTAGTTCTGAAACTTTGGCACCTAGTTTTGACCACTGGCACTACATTTGGGAGGAGATTAAGTGCTCGCCGACGTATCGCTTTATTTTGCAGTGAAAAAGAAACCCGTAAATTTTTTTAAGGGCTTCCACGTGACGTCGTTGCATTATGCCGGTGGTCACTCCACACTTGTTTTTGCAGAGAACAACGAATTTGGTAGTGCGAAATTAAATTTGCAAAGGTATATGCTCAGCAGCAAGGCCATCACAATCGCAGCCGACGCAAGAGCAATGGCTCCCACATATATATTTGCACAAAATGAAAAGAAAAAGAAAATGCAATGTGTAGCATGCAGATTCTGAGTATTTTTTTGACACCTCGTCACTGCTGGTTTTCAGAAATGTAGGCACAGGGATACAGCCATGAGTTCCAGACAACTGAGCCAAAGTTTGCAGCCTTCATTCCAGGCCAAAGGCAAGGCATCAAGTTGCAAAAGATGAAATCGCAAAAGGTGCTGAAAGTTGGTGCCAATAAAATTTGAATATTATTTTAGTCAGTGAATGGGTGAGAACCGCAATGCCCGTCTCTTTCAGATTTTATTCCTAACAAGAGTGCTGGCAAAGTATACTGTATAGAGGAAAGAATAAAAAGTAGAGAGGACGAAACACAGACGAGTATATCCTTTCAATTAACAACAAGGTTCATTCCATGGAGTGTGATCGCCCGTTCCTCTGCACATTCTTAGAGAAAGGGGGAAAAGGCAGAGGCATGAGGCGAGAAGTCAGAAGGAAGGACGGGTAGGAAGAGGGGTGCGTCGACTCGTTGGGGGCAGGTCGATCAGCAAGGTCGTCCAGTCACCCAGCAAAGCTCCAGGCACAGAAAATCCATCTCTCTATCAGAAAGGGCTAGCGAGGGGGAAGAAAGACTGACGCAAGTGTTTCTTACTGCAAATGATTCGATTACTTCCGTCCAGATTCTCTGAAGATGGCGCCCGAGAATGCGCGTTTTCCTGAACCTAGGCGCACACCCTCCGCATGTGCTGCGATGCGCTGCTTTCGGGTGCACCGAATCCTTGCTGGGATCGACAACCTCTCGGAAACGCTCTCTCAGGCGGTCACTTAGGCACCAGCCCGTTTGCCCTGATTCTTCCACAAGAGAAAGAGATGTAACAGATTCCCCCTCTCCAGCAAGGAACGAACTGCTTTTCATGTTTCCTGGGGCAGGTGTTTGGAGGGGAAGGAGTATTACCTGCCGGCACATCTGCTTGAGTCTGGATTTACACTTGAAGACGACTCCTACGTCGAAACGTGAGGCGAGCGCCTTGAGGCAATGTGCAATAGTGTGCGTGTACGTAATGACAGTGAAATGTTTCCGGAGGGGTCAACGTGTAGAGGGGGGTGCGTTGGAGGTGATAAGAGCGTTTGCCAGAAGGCCTTCTGGATAGCCCTCTTTCCTCAGTCTATCTATCTGGAGGCTAACGCTGTGTGTGGCAAGATGAGGGAAGGACCTAGCCTGCACAGTCTTCAGAAGGGACTCAACCAGGCCTATCTTGACTGCTTTAGAGTGGGCACTGGTGAAAGGGAGAGCTGCTTTCTCTGACCTCTGTTTGAACTCCCAGCACATCTGCCCAGTTCGGAGACTAAAATGTAGGGATCAGGAATGGGAGGTTACCCCCTGTCGGGTCCTCTCTTTTGAACGCAAGGCTGGTGCGGATTGATGTGAAAGCCTTGAGAATGGTTTCAGGTTGGGTCTGTTCCTGGTGCACCACAAGATGGTCATCTACGTACCTGAATACCTGGCGCCCGGGTGCTGTCAACTCCAGTTTTGCCTTTATAGGCCGATCCACATACATTAGGAAGATTGATGTGAGCACCAATCGCAAAAAAAAACGATAACTCTTTGTCAGGCATGTGAAAATAATAAATTGTGGGTTCGAGGCAAATTCAAAGTGAATAGAGCTTTTGGCCAAATATTTTTTAATAGAATATTCAAGAGCTGCTGTGCCTTTCTCCACGTCTTTTACTACTGTTACACCATGCTTAAAATAAACTTCAGCTGAACTCACGAAAGTTGTTCCTAAGCTCCCACTTGCCCACTTATGAGCTCTGTTCAATTTAATCTAGCCATATTTAGAGACTGTAGCCTCAGGAAGTCTAGTACCTACATTGGGATGGCAAGTAAATGACAGCATTGACATAAAATTAAACCTATAAAGGAGCCCAGCCATACCTAATTGAGGGGATTTATATATCTTCTTGCTATATGAAAATATTTTTTCTTTGATTCTGAATAAAAAGAAAAACAAAACAAATAATGAACACAGGTTTTTAGAACATCCCTGCCTAACATGTACTTTTGCATAATAGCCACAGTTAACTTTTGACCATTTTACTGCAATGTAATATCAGCAATCACAAAGTTTCCTGTATTTTTGTGTAATAAAGGCGCACGCGTGCACCATACTAGTTTGGAGGTGTGCTTTCCACTTAAGCGTGCGGCTGCGCTGCGGTGAAGCTAGTCGCGAGATCGCTGTGTCCGCTTCGCCGGGTATTACTTCTCCGCTGCGCACCGGTGCTTGAGGAGAAGCGCACTCTAAGGGGCTAACCCGCACTGGTCAACACTTCGAAAAGCATGAGCATCGCAGTTCATTTGCACAAAGGCAAAACTGCACAAAGGCAGAACTTTGTGCAGAAGCACATCAGCATGCTGGAGCAACTCAAGCGAGACCTCGACACAACCGTTATCCACACGGATGCGTCCCACAGTGACAGCATTGCTACTATTGCATGGCATATTCCATACAAACATATTTGGGGCAACGAAACCGAAACAGCCAAGACTTTGGAGGAAGCCTAAGCCCAGGCTCTACTCTATGCACTTGAGCAAGTTCTGCAGTCCTCTACAAGATCAATTCTCATCTGTACCAATTCTCAGGATGTCACAAAACCATGCAGGACATATGACCCCCCCAGCCCAACAATCAAGAGCATTCTCTTCATGGCAAACAAGGTTAGAGAACTGTACGACGCCCAGGTCATCACTCCCTGGGATTTCTGGTAACGGGGTGACACACCTGGCTGCAAAGAGATGGGAAAGTACCTCCTTTCCCATGCAAACAAGGGACTTCTCCTCGCCGGGAAGTTCAACCGATGGCGGCAAGAGGTACGACCCCGAAGACAGCTTGAGAAAAACCAGGCAGGACCTGAAGAAAAGATTGCTTGACTCTCTTTCACGAGACCCGCACCCCATCCCCAAGGGCTTCTCTAGGAGACACACTGTGCTTCTCAGAAGAATTCCAACGTAGAGTGCTATGCATGCCTTGCACCTACGTCACATGATGACGTTGGACACTGGTAACTATCATGATGGTGGTTGATTCGACGGCCATTTCCAGCGAGCCGTGGCAAACCGAGGCACGCTCAGGCTATAGCAATTACTACGTATCCCGACTATATTTTCGTCGACATGCCCCACTGCAGAGCAGCCATCAAGTTAGAGAAAGCACGAGTTGCAGGGAAGGGACGCGGCCGTGCATTACGGAGTTAGCGGGACGCATTTCATAGTAGTGAGCGACGGCACTTTTCTAACATTATTTATGTTTGTGCACATCTATGCATCGGCTTTGCCTGTTCGTGATGTGGATGCACTTTGCCTTTCGTTTCATCATGCTGTCTCCACGCTTTGAGGGCACTTTCTGGGCTCTCTACCGAGTACGGGCGAGAGTGCCACACCGCGAGCCCAGCCAGACGGCGGCTCCTGTGTGCACGCTCGCCGCCACCGCACGCTCGCCGAGATGCCGCTGTTGGGGCATCGGCTTGTACCGTTTACGACACGGTAACCTTTGCAAGGAGCGAAAGTATGCGGGCGAGCTGGTTAGGAAACATCGTAATCTAAACCCTGAGACAAGGAGAGCCGTCTTTTCCGTCATCTGATTGCGTCTTGTCTCAGGATTTTCACAATAGCGTTGCATTCTTTACCGGTACTTCGCAAAATCATAACAATTTTACTACAAGTGGCTTTTAGAGCCCCTTATCAAATTTTGGGGCGTGCAATGAAGCTTTTTTTGCAAACACGACAGCCTTAAGCGTCATAACTTCGTCGGCAACATATCGAAACTTTCTGCTCATAACACAATTGTACCAATGCCGAAAAATTCCGCGTATGCTGGCTGAACGTCATCATCGTAAGCTCTGCACATTTTTCCAAGTTCACATGTAAAAACCTGGGTACCTTTGTTGAAAACATGGTGCATGTTAGCGCATCTCCGGGCAGTTAGCGGCATTGTATATCTTGGTAAGCACATCCACGCGATGTGAGGTCAACCACCAGTATGGTGCGGGAAACCATCCTTCCCTAGCGTGACGTCACTTGCAAGGCATGTATTACTCCCCACACCAGAGGACTGTGGGCAGACAGTGCATGCAAAACCAGAAGGAGAAAAAAAAAAAAACAAAAAAAAAAAAACAGGATTAATGAGTTCAGTTATGCTCTACAACAGCCCAAAGCCTGCCCTCACTGAATCAAGACCCTCGTAGCAGACCTCACCCATCCCCTATGAAACCGCCAACACCTTCTATGAATCAGGAAAAAGGCCATTGCTTCCCTCCCACCCCAACTAAGGCCAGCCACCCGTGAAAGGTGGATCAGGCCACTGGGAGACCCTGCGAAAGTTAGTATTGCCTTGTATCCCCGCTCCTCTATCCAGAGGAGTCGGGCCTGGGGATCGTCCTTCTAGAAGGGACTCCAGCGCGCAAAGACCAAGCCCCGCGTCACGCGATCGCTTGTTGCAACAATAAACGTTTTGATTCGGCCATCCATCGCCTCTTCTAATTGCCACTGTTATGTCCCCTTTGCCTGTTTGAAATTACAACATCGATCAAAGAAACTACAAACATCACTCCCCGCCTCCTCCCCCCCCCCCCCCCCCCCCCTTTTTTTTTTGCCCCAGCAAGAGTCAATTTTCCACTGGCCAACCTCGCCGGCGTTACCCCGACATCGAACCCACTGGAAGAAAGGGTTCAGGCATTGGGCCTGAGCATCGCGGGAGGAAGTCCCGCGATGCTCAGCCATTAGTTCGTTCAATTTTCCCTCCGCCGTTCTACCCTCGCCAAGTATTCCTTTACCTGCGAGTCTTTTCTTTTCTTTTTTTTTTTTTCTTAAATTTTAATTGGTCCGTTTATTGGTTAAATCAGTCAGGCAATGCCCGCAGTTTTCACGGCTTGAGATGACGCTACTTGCGCACAAAAGCCCGAAAGGTCGGAAGGCACGGCCGTGAGTGAATTTCATTTGAAAGCATCGCCTCGCACCTAACGATTCAGTGATGGGAACAGTACCTGTTTGTTTAGTGAGAAATCTTCGGTGAAACCACTGGTCAAACCACTGGGGTCAAACCATCAACGACACTTTCACGCGCTATGCAGTTGTTGACAAATAGTGTGCTAAACGAATAATGGATCGATGAACACGGCTGAAGCTGAAACCTATGAATTGGGCGGCTGGTCGCGCCATCTGGTTGCTGTCTGCTTCAATTTGCGTCAGCACACTAGCGTTATTTGAACCTCTAGCGTACATTATAATAACTCTATGGTGGTACTACCTCGTGCCGAATGAAGCGACATATGAAATTACCAGTCCTGACGTATGGTACTTACCTAAAGTTAGAGCAGGAAATTATACGAAGCCTATGGAAGCCCTTACCCCATTACTATCAAGTTCACAGTTGTTCTTCAGAAACCGAAACTGACGTCACCCTTTCAGAACTATTTTGAAAATTGAAGGCAGGTGGTGCCACGCGCCCCGACCACCCCGACCACCCCGACCCCTGTACAGATGTGGTACAGATGACCTATATGCTGTACAGTGACGCACTTTCCTGTTCTGTCATACTTCCGAGTTGCTGCAAGATGATTTGCCGCCAAGAGAGTTCCCCGCGCACAGAAAACACATAACACCAGTGTTCACTATGTTCACTTTGTTTTTTCTTTAATCTGCCATGTGCTTCCAGCTGGCTGTTGAATTCCTGTGCCAGGAGCTCCCTGGACCTGTGCTAAGGAGAGTGAGGTACATGGTTTGGGTGGGCTGTGGTGGGTGTGTTAACTTGATAGCAAGTGCTTCCATAGGCGTCGTATCTTCAGCCTCTGTTGCACTTACTATAAGGTTCACAACTGCTTGTTCAAAGCCCCAATATGTGCGCTAAACAACTGGTGGGTCCCAAGATGTCCCTGGGTGTCTACAGGTGTCGATAAACATCCTGCGAGAGGACTGACCTGTCGCTACAAGGATTTCCGCCAGTGGGACTCAGACTTCCACAGCCCTGGAAATGGCAGCGAGCGGAGTGCGCATTAAAAATTGATATGCCAATACCCGCCTGTCTTAGGGAGAGTTTAATCCTGTTTGCTATTTATAATATTATTGTATCGCAAGTGGCTGCGTGAAAAACCTTCATGATCGTTAGCCAGAGCTGTGCGAGGGTAGCTCGGCATTCTTCTTGAGGTACACCCCTATACCTTCGACTGGGCACAAGTCCCGTGCTTGTGTGAACCCAGAAACTAACAGGGTTGGAGGGGGCTTGGAACTCTTACTTGGACTCCTCCAAGTAACAGTACCCAGCCTGCCGGTCTTCCGAATGTAGCGAGTTGACAGCAGGCACCGGTCTGAAAATGCTTGCCGAGGCGAGAGCCAAGCGCATAGTTACTGGTAAACTCCGAGAAATCCATATTGACACTCGTCCATAACCGAGTCTTCCTAAAACTCTTGGTATATACAAGGTCACTGTACAGGGTGTCGCAGAAAAAATTTACAGGGTGTTTTTTTACTGCAAAAACAAACTAGGCATCGCCGAACGCTCATTCTCCAACGCAAGGTAGCGCTAGAGGTCACAACCAGATGGCAAAGTCTCAGCCCGATCCGATACTTTATCCAAAAGTTATAAGTGATTTTCTAAAAATTTCAGTTGGAAAATGGCGGCCGACGGAGTTTTCGAATACACGCGGCTCTATGGACACCACAAACCGAAAACGGGCAAAAATGGACTCAATCTTCCCATTGAAATTTTCAGAAAATCACCTAGCTATAACTTTCAAATAAAGTATCGGATCGGGCTGAAACTTTGGCATCTGGTTGTGAGCTCTAGCTCTACCTTTGTGCGGAGAATGAGCGTTCGGCGATGCCTAGCTTATTTTTGTGGTAAAAAAAACCCTGTAAATTTTTTTTTGTGACACCCTGTATATACCGCAACCCCGAGAATATACCTAGGCCTCACACGGATAACGGACGTGCATCAAAGAGGGTCAGAAATGTTTACTCTGCGGTCAGAAAAAGTTACTTGTAGGGCATAACAGAAGGCGAGGTGAATCCTTTGTCGACATCTGAGCCTCTCCAAGTTTAATCGGTCAAAGCCTCCAGTGAACTAAGAAGGGCACGACGAGCGATGAATGACATTCCGGTCAACGAAGGAAGGATGTCGGAACAGGAAAGTACATTGTGCAGGCAGTGTGGGGGTCTGGGCACATGGCACCACCTGCCTTAAATTTTAAAAATAGCTCGGAAACGTTGACGGCAGTTTCGGTTTCTTAGGGAGAAAGCAGTTGTGAACTTGATAGTGAGTGCGACAGAGGCTGAAGTATAAATGAACATTGATCCTTTGCTCAACTTACGCCACCAGGGCCCATTTGCTCGAAGCCAGTATGATGCTGATATGAAGAAAGCAGAATAAAGTAAAACAGCTGAAGTAGAAACTTCGGAATCTGGACAATGGTTGGTGCCACCTATCCAAATAGAATGCCTGGAATGGGGTCCATATTAGAGCACTGCACGGGACTACTTTTCGAGACCAGGCCTGGCCTGTGGTATGCCTTCTTAATCAGACCCAGCCCAGGCCCGGCCTGGTGAGAAGCCAAAGCATGCCTCATCTCTTCAATTCCAAGGTTCCCTGGGGAGGTGGTGGTGCATTTAATTTGTCTACTAATTTTCATGAAAGATTCTGTCATATCGCACTCACAGGGTGAACATACAAAAGCTTACACAAATATAAAAGCTTACCCTTGGTAGCGAGAGGGCGTTTCTTTTTCTTCAAAAGTTTGAAAAGGAAAGGAGAAGGGAATCGCCCTGTCCCCTGTGATCGGATTGCCCTTGTTTTCTCGTTTGCTGGCAGCTGTCCCACGATGCTGATGGATTCCCCGGGATTCTCCGTACCTTCTTGCAGCCGGCTTTGTCCCCCAAACAGCTTTCCTTATTTCTATGATTATTTTAGTGGTATCTTGCGAGATGGCAGTTCTGTTTTTTCGTTTCTTTCAAATGTCAACGATCAATGCGTTAGCATTTTCTCTCAATGCTTTAGAAAGTTTGCTACGCCATTGCTACACCCAGCTGAGGCCCAAAAACAATCCGTGCTACCCGGGCCAGGCCCGGCCCGCGGGTCGGGACGAGCCCGGGCTTTCGGATTGGTCAGACTCGTCCCAAGTGACCCCAGCAGTGCAGCAAGACGGTTCCAGGTTGAGTGATTGGGCTAGTGTGCATGCTACTCGGACGTCAACTCGAACTGTGTGGCAACGTCGATGAATACACTACGATGGAAAATTCCAGCAGTACGCTTAAGCAGCGTACCCCGGGCTTGATGTAATTCTTTCATTTTTTTCTTTTTGTTTCGTTTTTTTTTTTTTTTCATTTCTTATTTTTAGTATCGTTTGTAAATTGCTTTCTCTTCTGAACTACAAAGAAAGAGAGATGTAACAGTTGTGATGCAGCACGCACACATGCATACTTCGTTTGGATAAAGAAGAGGCAGTTCGTTCCTGCTCACTGAGCCCTATGCGTCGTTGACTAATTCAGTGGGCTCTATCAGCACCAAACACCAATTCTATTCTTACGTTGTTCTGAAAAAAATATTCAAATCCATCCAGGTAAAGTTTAATTCTGCGTGTGAGCTTTCTCCATGGCACCCGAGTGCATTGCTGGTGATGCAGACTTATGCTATTGGCTATTTGTATGTATGTCCTTTAAGCTTTTCGGCGGTTCAAGTTAACCTTATTCGCGACTCCAACTAAACAAGCGAAGCATAGCGTTCTATATTCAAACCTGAACAGTGAGGGTCTCGCGCTAATTTGTTCTCGTGCAACGAGATTGTTGGTCGCGTGGTGGTGAAAAAACAAAGTTGTTCAGTGACGGCATGAAAGCACTTGCTTGGAGATACGGATGCACAGCTTGCACGTGTCGCCATTGTTGGGTACCGACGGTTATTTCTACTTCCAACTACAACTTCTGCGGTGCGCAACTAACACGACGAACCGAACGCTCGCGGCGTATAAAATACCGACATGGCCGCAAATGACGTCACATGCTTGCTATGTATTTTGTTCCTTTCACTTGAAAGAGCCTTTGTAGGCCGTGGACACATTAGATTAAGACATGGAACACTGACGGTTGAATCGCGAAGAGGGTGGGATGAGGACAGTGAGAACAAGGCTTCTGGTGCGCGGGGAATACGAGACGGGAAAATTGAACGCGGGGTTTTTTGAAAAGTGGGGCTAATGACGCGGGGCTTTTGCAACAAGAATTCTGGATGTGGGGAAATCATGCTACACCCGCTTTGTAACCATGTACTAGCTGCAGCGTTTCTTAAAAGGCCCCTGAAAAGGGGCCTTATTGTTTTTAAACTGTCTGGTTGGGACATGCGTCAAGAAATAAATCTTTTTGCGAAAAAAAGAATTTTTTAGAGCAATGTTGATGGCGAGATTTATTTGAAATTCTGCGCGCAAAGTCCATGACATCACGGAATGGTCATTCACTCAACGAGATGGTCATTCGCGCTTTCCACCGCAACGTGAAGGCGAAGCCGATTCTCCTCGCGGCCGGAATGCTGAGAGAAAAAACAAGTGGAAAGAAGGTGACTACCGACATAATCGCGTCTCGCGCCATGAATATTGCTAAAAAAACTATTTTCTTTCCGGTTCGAATACACTTTTTTGACATAAGTGTCCCAACCAGACTGTTTAAAAAAAATATATTTTTTTTCTTTTTTGAGGGGGGCCCTAAGCTAAGAAAATGAACAAGAAACTGCAATTTGTACGATGATATCCAATCTATCAATTCTGGTAAAGAGAGCCAGGAGCCACAATTAAAGCACCCAGGAATAAGTGCCCAGCACAACAAAATATTGCGGTCAAGTAAGTGCTAGATAGGAATGGTTGAAAAGAAGCAACTGTCGTTTATTAATTTGCAATTACAAAGATGCCCGGGCTGAGGAGAACGAGTCCAATAAAATCGGTTCAAGGTTCCTCTAGACTCCCAAGTCTCTTTTTCATATGTCTTAGTCAGTTCCGAATTTTCCACAACTTTCGTCAATGGAGTCCCGAAGGGGCATTAAACAGTTAATCAAAATCGGTACAATGCACATTTATAGCAAAACCGGCAGGGCAGTGCAAGGGATTTAACTAGCAACGTCCCAACCGGTAGCAGGAAATGTCGCGGTGCACACACTCACTCGGCGATCACTGAGGAAACCGCTAGAATAAAATCTTGGAATGGTACACGACGTCAAAAAAAAATTTCGAAAAACGTTTCTTCACGCTACTTAAGGCCCGTTCACACACTTGCGTTTGACTACGACTGACCGAGACAAGACCTGTTTTTCAAGCCTCCTGCGACTGCCCACAACCGGCTGCACAGCAATGCCAAGTTGTAAGCCCTCACAAGAGGTTTAAAAACAGGTTTTTAGCCTCTCCGGTTGTAAACAGTCCCAAGTGTGTCAACCAGCTGTTGCTTCGATGCCAAAGTCCACAGCAACTGAAAGAAACAACATTATAAAATTTAAAACTGCCAACGTTTTTTTCTTTTAATAAGCAAGATTGAAGTCTGATACACACAAACTTTTGCCATGTTTGTATCTTCCTTGTGATGGTAGTATCAAGAGAAAACGACAGAAGTTTTTACAAACATATCAGACCCTGCCTCAAGGAGCACGTCTCGAGCAAGTTCTAAGGAGCTTGGTTCAAGGGAGCTTGGAACCAGAACTAGACCATGACCCAATGTACGTTTAGGTGCAGAATACAGAGTAGCTACTCTGAAGTGCATTAAAGGGACCATGAAGCGATTTTGAAATCGAATTTCATCCACCGCACGTCGTAAAAGGTGTCAAAGAACCAAAGCACAGAAATAGAGAGCCCAAAAGATTTTCCCACTATAGAGCTTTTAAAAGAGAAGCGGACTCTTTTACACCTTCTTCCCTTTGAAAGCTCTCTGCCTTTTGACTGCGATGAATCTGCGGTGCCACGGCACGTCAGCCAAAGCCACGTCGCCTATTGAATAAGAGGCTACATCACCAGTGTAGCAATCATAAACAATAGCCGACGAATGTTTCTTAAAGTTTTGTTAAAGAATATTCTTATCCACTTATCCACATTTTGATGAATAATTAGCGATGCGATCGAATTTGCTGAATTTTATAATGCGCGGAGCTATGCGCCATCTATCGTGTGGTAAACTAAGCAAGAGAAAGATAAGACTGCGCCTGCGCTCTTTCGCAATCCCTGCTCTCTGCTGAAAAACATGTCGTCGGTGGCGATCGTTGACGTGGTGGAAGCTCATCGTTCCGTGCACAGCGCTATTTTTGACTGAATTTTCGTCGCATGTCGCAATGATAACTTAGCCCGTCCGAGGAGGGAAGATCCATCCACTTAAGCGGTGATGTTGTGGCGGCACCCTCAAGACAGCAGAAATGCTTGTGTTGTCGTCTTTTACTTCGACTACAGTAGTGCTTTCTTAGCATTTGTCTCCTCGGACGTCGCCCGGATTTCTTATTTTGCGCATTCCATGCTTGTGCTCAAGTTCAAGATATTACTGGTCCGTACTGAATTTAAAGGCGTGCATGAAGGATTCGAATTTCAACACATTTTCATTCCTTGAACGATCGCAACGTCTATGTAATCACAAAATCATATTTCTATGTTGCTATATTTCTGCTGAGATTACATCAGTGCGGTGATTTTTGTACTATCAGTAAACTCATTTTTTAAAGTCGTAATCGCCTAAGATGGTGTACTGCATTTTTTCCTTTTATTTGTTCGTCCACTCTGCCCTGCGAGCCTATCCTGACGAAATAAAAGTTAATAAAGCTCGAGCCCATTGAAAATTCTGTGCATTTTCTGCTATGCCAGTGAGTGACGGCGCATTTCCTTCTTTTTAGAAATACCGCGAAAACGGCTGACGGCGGAGCAGAAGCGGCTGTCGTGCAGACGACCTGCTGCGCTTTGTACCCGCGTATGGGACAGGCCTGGGAAGTATTGCGATACAAATGTATCGCGACAGTATTATAAGGATACAGTCGAAGCTCGTTAATTCGACTCTGACGGTTCCTCGAAAATAGATCGAATTATCGAAGAGTCGAATTATCGAATATCGATCAAAAACGAGTAACGACGTACGTCACGAGAAGCGGCGAAAAGCCAACCGTGACGACGGAGTTGTATTTCGAAAAAAAACGCCAATATTTTCTGCTGCCGCATTCCAGTCAGACGCTTCGCAAAAACAAATTTCCGCATATCCTCAATGTGCGGCCACATTGTCTCGTCGGTGTCTTCAAACGTTGAGAAGTTCGCAAGTACATCGAGCACAGCGGATGCTTCGGCAGGAGATGGGCGTGGCGGCAGCTCTTCGGCGTCACTCTCGCAGCTGTCGTCCTCCTGACCCTCGGGACACTGAACCGATGCGATGATTTCATCGTCAGTCAATTGACCGCACACAAGCACTCCATCATCTATCGCAACGTACCGTATTTACTCGCAGAATGAACGCACTTTTTTTTCCGAAAAATCGATGCAAAGTTAGGGGGGGGCGTTCATTACGCGAAGTAAAATTTTGCGTCCGTATTTGTCCGTATTTACTCGCATAATGAACGGACCTTTTTATCCCGAAAAATTTAAGTAACTTCTTATCTTTTTTGCGCGCGGCGCCCGACCCCGTAGCCAAACTAAGCTGTGCAAATAAAAAAAAAAAAAACTTTCTTTTTAATTCCTTAGGCGTTTTTTTTTTTTTTTTTGCCGCCTTTCGCAAGCTGTTTTGTTTGCTTAGACGAGGGCTCTCCGCTTATCTTTATCCCCTTGCGCACGGCGCGCGACGCACGACCCCGTAACCAAACTTCGCTGTGCAAAAAAAAAAAAAAAAGAGAAAAAAAGCTCTTTTTTTTTTTTGCTCAGTTCCTGGGTTTTCTTTTTGCCGCCTTTCGCAAGCTGTTTCGTTTGCTTAGAGGGCTTCTCCGCTCCTCTTTCTAACCTCCTTGCGCGCGGCGCGCGATTCCCCCCCCCCCCCCCCCCCCCGTTAACCAAACTGCGCTGTGCAAAAAAAAAAAAAAAAAAAATGAAGAAAAAAAAGCTCCTTTTTGTTTTCTCTTAATTCCGTGGTTTCTTTTTTTTTTCTTTTTGCCGCCTTTCGCAAGCTGTTTCGTTCGCTTAGAGCTCTTCTCCTTGCGCGGGGCGGCGCGCGAACACCAAGTCCAGACAGCGCTGTGCAAAAAAAAAAAGCTCCTCTCCATTTTTTTTTCTTGCTTCCGTTGGATCTTTGCGAATTTCTTTAACGCCTTTTGCAAGGCCTTTTGTTTGTCCACGCTGCCCATGCATTCGCGACCTCGCTGCACCAGGATGGAAAAGTGCGTTCATTTCGCGCGCGTGGGGGGGAGGGGGGGGGTCAAAATTTTGACGTCCGGGTTGGGGGTGCGTTTATTACGCGAATAAAAAAAAAAGTCGAAATTTTGAGAGCCGACTTGGGGGGTGCGTTCATTACGCGAGTGCGTTCATTGTGCGAGTAAATACGGTAATCATCAAAACTAACGTTTTCGGGTAGAGCGGACATTAGAGCACTGCACTCTTCGTCAAAGTTTTCATCTTCAATTGTGGTTGCCAATGTTGTAGCCGATGCAGTTGCCGATGTAGTAGCCGATGCAGACGTAGTAGCCGATGCAGTCGTCGAACTCGCGGTATTTCCATAACACGAGAAACCACAGTGACGAAAGCAGTTTGCGATGACCTGGCTTGGCATGTCCGTCCAAGCTTTAACAAGCATATGAATCGCTGCCAACAGAGTGACTTCATAGCGCTTACCCTGGTCCAGACAAAGCAATATTCTTGCCATGAGATGCTTGCGGTACAAGCCTTTCAGGCGTTTGATTATTCCTTGATCCATTGGTTGCAAGAGTGAGGTGGTTGCGGGTGGAAGGAAAATCAGGCGGATCATAGACAGCTCCGGCATTTTTGTGTGCGCACTGCAGTTGTCCACTACTAACACGACCTTGCGCCCCTTGGACACCAACTGGCGGTTCAATTTGTGAAGCCAATCTTGAAAGATCCCTTATCCACATTTTGATGAATAATTAGCGATGCGATCGAATTTGCTGAATTTTATAATGCTCGGAGCTATGCGCCATCTATCGTGTGGTAAACTAAGCAAGAGAAAGATAAGACTGCGCCTGCGCTCTTTCGCAATCCCTGCTCTCTGCTGAAAAACATGTCGTCGGTGGCGATCGTTGACGTGGTGGAAGCTCATCGTTCCGTGTACAGCGCTATTTTTGACTAAATTTTCGTCGCATGTCGCAATGATAACTTAGCGCGTCCGAGGAGGGAAGATCCATCCACTCAAGCGGCGATGTTGTGGCGGCACCCTCAAGACAGCAGAAATGCTTGTGTCGTCGTCTTTTACTTCGACTACAGTAGTGCTTTCTTAGCATTTGTCTCCTCGAACGTCGCCCGGATTTCTTATTTTGCGCATTCCATGCTTGTGCTCAAGTTCAAGATATTACTGGTCCGTACTGAATTTAAAGGCGTGCATGAAGGATTCGAATTTCGACACATTTTCATTCCTTGAACGATCGCAACGTCTATGTAATCACAAAATCATATTTCTATGTTGCTATATTTCTGCTGAGATTACATCAGTGCGGTGATTTTTGTACTATCAGTAAACTCATTTTTTAAAGTCGTAATCGCCTAAGATGGTGTACTGCATTTTTTGCTTTTATTTGTTCCTCCACTCTGCCCTGCGAGCCTATCCTGACGAACGCTCATACCGAAATTTTCCGGTATGAGCGTTAAACACCGTGCACTCCAAAGAACAGAAACCAGAAACCGCGTGACAGCACGGACCCTCTTCATCGCTCGCTCATTTTTCTCCAGTCTCCTTCTCCATCCTCCCGACGTTCTTTCTCACTTCATCGCTCACTCATTTCCCTCTCGTTGCTCCCGTCTCCTTCCGCGCGCCTCCCCACGTGATCGGGCCGGTGCGCTCCGACTGGGTCTTATCTCGACTAATCAAATCGGCCCTTTCTTCGGCGCGAGGCGCCAGCGAAAGGGCGCCTGTCTGCGCGGGCGCTCTTTCGCGGAGCGCGCCCCGGCTCGAGGCGTTGGGGGCGCCGACGGGCATCGCGCGTCTGTGGAGGTGTCGCAATCAGGCGCGGGCTCGCTGCAACGGCTGTTTGCCAATATGGGTAGGGACGCGTGTTGTGTTCTGAGGCGCCGTTTTAACCTTTAAACTTACAGTGTTAGCTTAAAAAAATATTTCCCGGTTACGAAGATGCTGGCTCCCGGGACGAATTATCGGGTTGGGGATATTTATCAGATCGAAATACCGGGGTTTTCTGCCTATTGAAGCCTGTACATTTCTGACGGTGCTAAACGGAAGGATCGAATTAACGCGATGATTGAAATAACGGGAGTCGAAATAACGAGCTTCGGCTGTACTATCGAGTATATGCATCTTTGTATCGAGATACGTTTACAATATATCGCGATACTTTGCCAGATTTAGGCATCTCGTTACATTTGTTGCCGTTTTTGACGATAAATTTAAGGTGCTTCAGAAGTTATAATAAGAACCCGCCCTGTAACATGATCCATCACAGTCACCAACATTAAAAAAAAGTTGGTTTAAAAAAGGTTACTTGCAAGAATTACAGAATAAGCTCCTCTCATAAAGCCTTCCGCTTTCTCCAGTTTCGTAGAGCAAACGCTGCAAAGGAGTTGAGTGAAGAAAAGGTATGGCTCTGGTGTCTAATCTCCACACATTATGGGTGACTCCAAAGCATACTTTCGAGACCGGTTATAATGAAGTCGGTTATAAAGACATAACGGCTATATCAAAGCGATCATGATTTCCCATTTCTTTTTGCACTTCAATAGCCGAAGTTGGTTACAGTCGCCGACCGTTTTTTCGGACTCCGATAATTCGGACTTGTTCGATATTTCGGACCTAAAGGCGGAACCGTGACTTACCCCATAGAAATAGTGTATGTTCATGACCAATGTTGCGGACAGCTTGAAGTCCGAAAGTTCTATTATTCGGACAAAATCGTCCCGAGCGATCAGCGCAAAACACCACCGAGAAGCGGCCATTTTGAATTCTATGTTGGCTGCAAATGAATTGGCTTGATTTGGCAGCGCTACTTGAGCACTCCCGAGTCCTACCGCTAGGTGACGCTATGCTAGCCCTTTTTTTTTTCCCCCATTTAGCTGCACGTCATCACCATCATCATTATTATCATTTTGCTTTGTTTTTCGTTCCTTCGCGTCACCAGTCGCCAGTTTGCGCTCGTGGATTTGCGCCTCTGATCTTGTTCGGAAAACGCTGGCTTGGACGTCATGGCCCCATATGTTGTTCTGCCACTGCGATCTGTAGTTAAGAAGCGCAGAAAGTACTCGACCATAACGCTAGAAAAGAAGGCAGCGATTCTCAAGCTAACAGAAAGTTGCTGAACGGAAACGGAGGCGTAACCTAAAACAAGGCACGCAGGCGTAACCTGAACCAAGGCACTATTTACGGCTTTTTTAAGCCCACTTGGAAGTAATAAAGGCAAGTTTTTCAATCTGCTGATTTTTCGGACTGCTCTATTATTCGGACGTTTTTTCGGTCCCAGCGAAGTCCGAATAATCGGTCGGCGACTGTATAACGAAATAACAGATATAGCGAAGTGATTTTCGATTTCAGTTGACTTCGTTAAAACCGGAATCAACAGTACAAGACGACAGTTTGAGATGCGCCCTCATAGCAAAACAGGGTTCATTTTGTGCAGACGTCTTTTGTCAAGCAAGGCACGCAGTCTTTACTATTCAGTAATTATGTGGTTCACCAAAGACAACTTTTTTTTTTCTTTTAGCGGCAATATTGATAAATAAAGAGTTAGAGGCAAGGGGAAGTCTGTAAAATGATGCAAAAAGAGGGGCACAAGCATACATTACCATTTGCATTTGCCACGAACTACACCCTCACAATGTAGCACCGTTCGGGAACAAATGGATTTCTGTGTCTATATTTGTATCCCGTTCGCCGTTTCTGCAGAAGTATCTCAGGGATATCCCATTGCATAAAAGAAAAATGTATCTCAGTATCTGTATTTTGAGCCTTAAAATGCATGCATGTCAGTATTTGTATTCCCAAATACTTTTTGAGGTACCTCTGCACAGCCCTGGTATGGGACCAGTCCCATGCTGTCGCTGTAGTGCAACATAACTAACTGAATTTTGCTCAGCTGCAATGTATCCATGGCTATCGCGGTGATGAGAGGCGCCTATTAAGAAAATATGTCGGTGACGGCGCCATTAGCGCAGTAAAATTGTGTGGTAAAACCTACCGGCACACTGCCAGCTCACCGTTAACGCTCCCATTTTCCTGCTGCCCAGTGCCATAGCATGTCACGACTGCAAAATTATGGCGCGGCTTGTTTTGGTGGCGAGTTGGAGAGGAAGAAAAACTCGAAATTTCAATATTTTTTTAGTAGAAGTTAATGAACCGAAATGAAAGAAAATGCCTGTTCGGCGTTTAGAGAACATTGTAGATTTAATGTAAAGTTATTTGGCACAAGTAAAAAGGTAATTCCATGGTCCCGTTAAACAATGCCTCCTATTCATTGACCCAGGCTCAAGATCACAGCTGGAAAACAATCATTTAGTACTCCCCAATAAATTAGCGGCATGACAAACGGTGGCGTTTGGACGAGAAGCTCAACAGCAAGGCCAAATAGTCTGGCACTGTGTGCATAGTCTATATGACCAACCACGCTAGAATTCTGATTTAAGTTTCTCAGGTAATAATGGCATTCAAGAAGCCTATTGGCTGCAGGCATTACACAAATGCCCTTAGGGCCTTTGGGACCTACATTGCCACTCGCTTTCATGTATACTTCAATTGAAATGGCATAAAGCTCCGCACGAGTTAAATAATTACACATGGGACAGGCTCAACTTGCGGGCAACTGCAAGGCATTCCACACGTTAGCATCTAGTTCTGGCAGATAAACTCCTATTATGAGAAAAGCTCTTGGGGCATTGTTTGCACTTCTAAGGTTTTTAAACAATGTGTCTGATAATGATGAATCAGACTTCTATTATAAGAAAAGGCTTTGGAACACAGCTTGCACCTAAATGGCTTTTCACCAGTGTGCATTCGAATATGATTTCTTAGATAGGAATTCTGAGCAAAGGCTTGGGGGCACTGCTTGCACTTAAATGGCTTTTCACCAGTGTGCATTCGATTATGATTTGTCAGATAGGAATTTTGAGCAAAGGCTTGGGGGCACTGCTTGCACTTAAATGGCTTTTCACCGGTGTGTGTTCGATTATGACAGGTCAGAAGGGAATTATAAGCAAATGCAAGGGGGCAATGCTTGCACTTAAATGGCTTTTCACTCTTGTGCTTTTGAGTGTTGCTGAGCACTTGGGAATCTGAGCCAGACATGGAAGGATGCTGGCACTTGGCTTGTTCATCACCATGGGCAGCCAGGTGGCTCACAATTACACGCTGATCACTGGTGACATAGGTGCAGGAACAGCACCCGAACCAGATGTTCTCGGTAACTTTCAGTGGGCAGCTGGTCTCCCCCAACAATGTGGCTCCATCACCTACAAGAGAACACCATATATATTGACACACAAGAAAAGCCAAACCAAAATAGCCACTTAGTTTGGAAAAGACTGTCGCGAGAGCAACAGTACAAAGAGGGCTTCGTACTGTGGCTCCCTATGGCCGCCGACAGTCTCGGTTCCCTTACTTCTGACTAGAAGTAGCCGAAGTTATTTGAGAGAAAGTTGGTGAAAACAGAAGCAAGGTGATTGGGACGATATCTGGGACCCATCCCTACTAGGCAAGGGTACAGACATCTGGTTGGTAGAGCCTCAATGCCAAGACGTGTGTGGTCAAGCAAATAAGCCCAGGTCACCCTACTGTGTAAAGATTGACTGGCAGTCTACTGCTGAGGCCAGAGATATCTTGTATTGCTTCGGAAGCAGCTTTCATCTACTCTGGATGATAGTAAAACATAACTACAAGTACAGATCATGCCACCATCGCAAAGGGGCTAGGAAAGGCAGCATTCTTTTGGAACTGTCTCATCAGTTGTGCAAAGCTTTGGAGTGATTGTTAGATCCTGTACTGTGAGCTTGCAGAACACTTGGGGGCTGATACACCTGAATACAGTCCAAATGTGTTCCCTGATTTCTAGAAAGGGGGATATGTGATATCACTTCGGTGCTGGAATGCCAAAAAGGCATTGGGTATTGTCAGGTACACCTTTGAGCAATGTGGAGGTTAACATCTTGATTTAAAAAGCGTGCAAACGACAAGGACAAAATAGAAAACATGTACGACTGACGAACACTTGTCGATCAAACGTGTTCTCTATTTTGATCTCCTCTTTCGTGCGCTTTTTAAATCAATATCAGTAACTACCAACTAAGCCCGTTTCTATGCTTATGAAGGTGAGCACCTGCTTGGTTTCTTGCTCGTTTTACAGCTCCCCAAAGATATATCAACTCTAAGCTTTTCAAATATTACTCAACTTGGGATCAAAGCTTTGGGTTCTAGCCCTTGCCTGGAGAACTTGTCAAAAAAAATTGTAGGTCCCTTCAAAAACGTTGAGGCCATTTGCATTCATTTTGCTGATGGTTGTACATATGAAGCTATCTTTTCATATCTTATAACTCTGTACTGTTCATTTAAAGTGGCTATGTCTTTTACTTTCTGTGTCACGCTGAATAGGAAAGAATCAATGAGCTGTGCAGTTTGTCATAAGACGTGCCTTCAAGTCTCATTTGCATCTTGCATGTGCGGTTTCAGGGGCAAACTAAAAGGGTTTCTTATGTCTTTTTATGGCAGTGACTTCATCGCTAATCGCTGAGGCAATTACCAGACTGGGTTTTCTACGAAGGAACTTAAGACTCGCCCCACCCCCCCCCCTAAAGTGACACAGATGGCGTCCCTAAATTTAGTCCGCCCAAAGCTAGAGTATGCCGCATCCGTATGGTCCCTGTGGCAAAACTACCTTAAACGAGAACTAGGAAGTGTACAAAACAGAGGTCTGAGATTTATTTTTTTCTGATTATCCTTTTTACACTAATGTTTCTGGTTTGCAAGAGCGAGTGAATCTTTTTGAGCTCGCTTTAAGGTGAGAGATATCTCGATTGACTCAGTTTTACCAGATTTACCACCTTAGCCCTACGCTTAGAAAAATTTTACTCCCACGTCCCATTTTGTTTTTCCCAAGACTAGACAACAGCCGTAAAATAGAGCCCATAGTTCCCTCCACCACTTCCTATGCCAATTCTTTTCTCCCTTTGACAATAATAGAATGGAATGCTTTACCTGATAACATAGTTACAACTAACAATATGACGTATTTAAAAAGCTACTAGGTGAACTATTAGATCCCTGTGCAAACAATGCTGAGTCTTAGCATGTTAATATTGTGTCCATTTTCTTTTTTCTCTTTTTTAGTATTTATTTGTATTTTTGTTATCGCTGCTCATGGGTTTGTACTACTATGTTTATATATTGAAATGTTTAGTTTCCCATTCCTTGTGTCGCTGCTCACGAGTTTGTATTACTGTGTAATGCCCTGTAATGGGGTCTTGAAGGTATTATAAAATAAAAAAAAAAATCAATGTGCTGTAAGCATAAGTCAAACCCTATAAGACCCGCTTGAGACGGGGTAATTTCTCCCAGCAACCAGACGTCGCAACACCAGCAACACGGGCCGCCCGTGTTCACACGCAGCAACCGACTGCTGCAATTTGCTAACATCATCATTGTTTTATTTTTCTTGCACTATTTAGACACAGAGTTATGCGCTATAAACATGTTCTTATACATTTAAATGGCATTGAGAATACTAACTCATCTTTCTGAAATGGTTCATCTCCCCAAAAAAACGCTTAATTTCGAACCAGAACACAGTCTTTAGTTGTCACCATCACCACCACGGGGGTGTCACGTGAAAATATTGCGTCCCTGATTGGCTGCTGCCGCTTCAAGCGTCTCTGAGTTGTTCGAGTTGCTCGTCCGTTTCGAGCCGGACCCGATCTCAGCAATTCATGTTAATCTAGGGAAAGCTAGGGAACAACCTGGCAGCAACCTCAAAATTGCTCGAAAAGTTGCCCCGTCTGAAGCGGGCCTGAGAAAGTTGCCCCGTCTGAAGCGGGGCTAAGAAAGTGTATTTTTGTGACTCATACAGTTAAAATAATGTGAAGGTTAGCAAATATCTCGGTTTGCTCATAATTAGTGTTATATATTTTTGGTTAATAACATACAAAAATCATTTGCCGAATTTCACAAAAATTAAACGCCGAAAACACAGAACCCTATTCCTAATGCACTGTGACATTGTTTCACTTCTGCCACAGGCCATGGTGTCCCATTGGCAATGGGCTTCTAGTGGTGCACATTGTTTTTTCTAGTTTCATGCCCCTGCTGTTAAAAACGAAAATGTACACAAGCTTCTTAGTGCTATTACTTACTCACTGTAATAGTTTTCTTTTTAATTTACAGTCTGTACAAGACAAGCTCTACATTCCAGAGCTCTGCATATATTATACCTTTAACAGCTTATGTTTTAGGGGCTTGCAAGCCCTGTACTTAAACAGGTTCACAACATCAGTGACTCCCACTGCCACATTTGTCAGCAGTGGTTTAAAAAACTTCTTTGTGACAACTGTCTCCATTAGCAGACCATGTGATTCCTCACAGGCGCATCTAAATGGCTCTGTCAATGCCAGTGTTGGTGCTGCTGCATCTACCAGAGCTTCGAGAGAATGCTTCAATTCTTGAACAGGAGCCGAATAAAAAAAGATACATTTTGTACAGCTTTCAAGAAAAGGGGGAGGGGTAAATGAGGCCACCTATGTCCTGGTGTACAATCAGCCAGTCCGACGTGTCAGTCGGCCACTGCTTTCTGATTCGTGCAAGGCAGGCAGAGCACTCCATTCCTTCCCATTTGGTACGCCCAAGGTAACCCACAACAACGGCTGTAGCAGCGGGGTCTGAAGGAACCACTGGTTGCCGATTTTTAGAAGCGAGAAAAAGAGTTACCTGGCTAGGTACCTTGCACAACTTATTCAACTCCTGCCTTTGAAACTCCCTATTATCCCTGTTTTAAGGATCTTCTCCAGTCCACAGATTGTTGGTTTTACGTCAATTAAGTAGGTCATCGCTCCCGCAAGTTTTCGAATGAATTCAAACAAGGATTCAACTGCGTCGCTCGAGAATTTTCTGGTTAGAACAAACGTGTATCCACTACTGTGAAGGAAGCACTTCACACATTCTACCATGGAGAGTGTTGTGAGGTTCAGGGCTTCAAAGGTTTTTGCTGCGAGTCTGTTTTTTTTGTTGATGTATTCTAGAGTGACGCCATGTAAGGAAGAAACACGTCTGTTAACCATTTCAGACAGCTGATGGATGTGTTGCTTGCAGTTGCTTGTGTTGCTCATTACAGTGATGTGATTGGCCTAAGCCGTTTTGGAGCACCTTTTGGAGCAGCCAAAAGGGTGTTTTGGAGCAGCAAAACTGGCCTTTGGAGCAGCCAGAACAGTGTTTTGGAGCAGCAAAAGTGGCTTTTGGGGCAGCCAAAACAGTGTTTCGGAGCAGCAAAAGTGGCTTTTGGAGCAGATATTCTCAGAAAAATAAACATATTTTCGTTTTAAGTGCTGGACGAACGAAGGACACTTCGCTCGCCGCAATAAACAAATTATGGTCAAGTTAGACCACCTCGGAGTCTTTCAACATGTAACTGAAATGCCAATGACATGACACATTTTGCAATGCTTTCGTTAAATTATACATATATATGTACCGTTATAGATAAAAAAGAAACAAACAGCACATTAAAATTTATTTGAAAATGACCAGCTTATTAGTAAATATCACAGCATTAGGTTGACTACCATAGTTATATGATATAATAAATGGAAGCTGTCTCCAACTGATGATACACGTAACTACTGCAGTGCAATGCGAAATTGTACACAAGACAAAGGTGCATTAAGACTAGTGGGTGCTTTTCTTTTTGCCTTCCGAAAGTTTCTACAACGCTGCTGCAAGCCTCAATTTGCCTGTTGCTAGTAATGAATTCCCACTTTCAATGTCTCCAAAGAGACATTGAGACATCCCACAAGTGAACAGTGCTGTGGGCGTTGCCGAGCAATTCCGAAAAACCGCTTGCCACCATTTTACTGGTTCCCGACGTGCCAGATTTTCGTCAAAAGTAAGCAAACGTAAAACAATGGGTTGCAAGCGTCTCGGCTAGTGCTTCTGTCGTGCAGTCATGTTCGCATGCAGATGAGGGCAACTTCGGCAGGCTTGCATTTGCACGTGCCTCGTCGCGCGAGCGGAGATGGCTGTTCGATCGAAACAGACACTATGCCACTCCGCTCCGTCGCCAACTGGTTTCCGAAATTGTATGCAAAGTGTAATTGTCCAGCATACTACAAAAAACAGTCCAGCGGCAAGTGCTTGCCAGGCCAGCAGGCGAGGTACAAGCTAAACACACAGAAACAAAGAACTTGAGTGAGTCAGGTCAAAACAAGACATCGCGAGTCAAGATCAAAAATGTACTTGGAGCGCTTTGTACAATGACTGAGGCACTGAAGCGTCAACACACGCCTGCGTCAATCGTTAATTTTTTTTTTTAAGGCGCGATTGACGAGACACATTAACGACGAGAGCGTGAAACGAGAGGTGGCAGGAAAAACTATGCAGCCCGGATGGACGATTGATAGAGGGTACTTTTTGTTGGGCAGCCGCTTGCGCTACCTAGCTCACACATGCTCAATTACGGTACTCAGTTTAGTTCGTTTCGAAAGACGACCAAAATTGGTCCTTTGGCGCAGGCTTGGCGCAGATCACCCATATTTTGGCAAAATGTAGCAGGATGTAGCAGGGTTAGCCCCTTGGCGCAGTTTGGCGCAATTGGCGCAGCAATCACATCACTGTCATTAGGAAGCATGCATAAATATGCTTCATGAAAGTTGCTGTTCGGTGTACAAGCCCAAAACTCAGGTCACACGAGAACCCAGCCTCTTTGTCAAGGAACTCCAGGGCAGCTGCAACAGGTGCAAAGATTTGCACAGCCATGCCCACATTCATTTTCTTTAAGTTATTTGGATATAGGTGCTTTCAGTAAGGTTTCAGGCAGGCTTGAAAGATGATCCTTTTTGTATTTCGCACATCTTTTTTATATAGGAAGAAAACATCTCCTCAGATGGCCCCAGATCTGTCCAAAAACTGTGAGCGAACATTTTTGAGAATGTAATAACAATCGAAGCTTAGGGACAGTAGCCTAGTTGGCTCCACTGGGTGCTATAGCACAGGTGCTGACCTCCACAGAGGTACTCCATTGTCAGCACATTTACCTTGTGGTTATCTGTAGCTAGTCGGGTCAGTTTGAAACCCAGGCTTTCCACTTTTCTAATGGTGTAAAGTACGGTCTTCAGCTGATCTTCTGCAGACAAATTCTTGAGAAAGATATATGCGACAGGAATCTTGTAAGCTACAGAAGGCTCGTTAAGCACGAAGCAAAGCAAAGAGCTTGCCAGCGGTTCTTTGTTTGATTTACTTCCACCAGTCTGTTCTTCAGGATATGCTTCGCCATAGTCAACTTGACCAATGAAATTGTCACGTCGGTTGTAGTAGGACTGCTATTGAATTTTCATCTCATAAATGACAAGAGAACACATTCTCAATCGCAGTGCGGGTAGGTTTTCCTTTTCGATCTTGAGTCGTTTTGCCACTAGATCTGGAAACCCAACTTGTGCCCCAGATATCCCAATGTAGTTTTGAAGGTCTTTCTACATGGTAGTTTCAGGGTCCTGGAAGTGCACAAGTATTTATAGGCGCATGGCGACATGTTTTGGGCCACAATACATTACCGTATAGTTGCTTCCTTCCAGGATGGCCTCTGTTTAGCAAAGTTTGCAAGCTGGTCCAGAATAATGACTGCCAATCTATCATTCTCAGCTGCAGCTTCCTTGATGACTAGGAAATCTTGGAGGCCCGCCTGCTTCAATTCTTGGACCTGGGATTTGAGCTGTCACTTTTACACTCAGATTTTTCCGATTTTTTGTCAGGGTCTTCACTTTCTTAGCGCACCTGTCCTTTTCTTTTTTCAGAGCAGCACGACATATTTTAGAGCGCAGCTCTTAGGCGCCTGTTTCCAACTTGAGCGTCGGCGGCGGTAAACGCGTATTGCATTATGGGACCTTTCCCATAATGACGTCACACATGACGTCACATGTGACGGTTATGGTGGTGATATGTCACGACGTTACCCTCGTGACGTCATTATAGGAAACACGTGACGTATGACGTCACGTGGCCCCCCCCCCCCCCCATGTGATGTCCCAAGTACCTAACACTGGCAATATTCCCGCTGGAAAATTTTTCCGCTAAATTTGGCGAAAAATTACTTCCACTAAATTTACCCTCGTGAAGTTAAATGTGACAACATGTCTGACGTCGCACATGATTTTACTTGGGTAAAACCTTCCCGCTAAATTTAGCGAAAAATTTCCCCACTAAATTTAGTGGGAAAGGAAGAGAGGCGTCTCCAATCCTCCGTACCCTCCCCAAGAGCTGCACTCTCATTCGACGTCACAGAAAATTGTAAACATCTCATTTCTGTTCTTGTGATGTAAAGTCAACTCGACCTTTTATGAATGATGAACTTGGTAGGTTGGGTAAGATTGCATTAGCATTTTAAGAAATTTCTAGCAAAAATGTGATGAGGCATTTTTAATTATTGTATGTTTACAATATGTGGGTTCGATTATTAGTGTTGTTTGTAACATTACTATACGTGATTCGTAAACTGCACACCTCTGTGTAAACCATACAAGCCATAGCGAGCATCTTACCTAAAGGCTCTGCAGCTAAAGAAGGCAGTGTCTGCTTGGTGGCAGCTTGAGAAGAGCAGGCTTTGGCAGGCAGGCCACTCTCGTCCAAGGGGGACAATCCTAAAGAGCAACGTGAAACATGAAACCTTGAGCAATACCAAAAATGTGAACCCAGTAATCACAGACACAGCCATGTCAGTAGCACTGAACAGAGCAGTGAAGAATAGTGGGCGGCTTACCCAAAGGCTCGGCAGTCGAAGACGGCACTGTCTGTTTGGTGGAGGCTTGAGAACCCCATGCTTTGGCAGGCAGGTCATGTTCACCCAAGAGAGACGACCCTATCAGGCAATGCGAAACATGAAAGCTTGAGCATTACCAAAATTGAGAACTTTGTAATCGCAGACACTGCCATGTCAGTAGCACTGAACAGAGCATCAAAGCAAGCTGGGCGGCCTACCCAAAGGCTGAGCAGTCGAAGATGGCACTGTCTGTTTGGTGGAAGCTTGAGAGTCCCATGCCTTGGCAGGCAGGCCATGCTCTCCCAAGGGGGACAACCCTAAGAGCAATGTGAAACATGAAAGCTTGACCAATACCAAAAAAGTGAAACTTGGTATCTTAGATGCAGCCATCTGAGTAGCATCAAACAGTGCAGTGAAGCATTGTGGCCAGCCTACCTAAGGACTGATCAACCGAAGATAGCAGTGTCTGATCTTGAGAATCAGCTTCGGTAGGCAGGCCATGCTCGTTCAAGGTTGATGGCCCTATCAAGAAATCCAAAACATGAAAGCTTGAGCGTTACCAAAAATGTGAACCCTGTACTTGCAGACACAGTTATGTCAGTAGCACTGAACAGGGCAGCGAAGCATGGTCGGCATCCTACCTAAAAGCTGAGCAGGCAAAGACGGCAATGTCTGTTTGGTGGAGGCTTGACAACCCCAAGCTTTGGCGGGCAGGCCACAATCGCCCAGGAGAGATGACCCTATAAACAATGTGATGCATGAAAGCTTGAGCAGTACTAAAAATGAAAGCTAGAGCACTAACAGACATGTCTGCTACACTCAATAGTGTCGTGAAGCATGCTGGGGAGCTTACATAAAGGCTGATGAGATGCGCTATGCAGGTTTTCACATTGGTTCTCTCCTGTGTTGATGGTCGGTAGTGGACAACGTTGAAGTGAACTTGAAGAGTCTAGAGATTGGAGACAAGTTGCCGTGTAAAGGAATAAAAAAAACCTAGATGGCTCAAGCATTCCTCTTACCATTTTGCTCTTGAATCGTTTGATGAACAGAGGTCGAAGCCTGGTTTGGTGGCAAGTTCCCGGAACATTTTGGGAAAATACTAGGGACTGATCCTTTGATTAGAAATCTTCTTTTCTTGCCTTCAATGTAGTCTGTCTGCTTGAAGTGATCAGAACAGACTCTCTGCGAATCGATGTGAAGTGTAAAGCCTTCATGATGGATTGCCTTAATCCACTTTTGACAGAGTTTCAAGTCGGCAGGAAACTCATGAAATGCTATGCTGCCCCTTTTGGATTTCCTCTTGCAAAAAGGAACGCAGCACCGTTGCACCATGGTTTAGCCCTAGGGCATGAAGTGTATGAAACCATGTTAGCTTCGTACAAAAGTCAACACAAGGTAAATGCAAATTATATTATTTGAAGGCTATCGCTAACTATACCACTTAGCAACTCAAAAATAGCAGTATAGTGGAGAGGGAGAAAACACCTCTGCTCGTGCAAAATTGGTGGTTTCCTCATCTCCACTACGTCCTTTCCAGCGTTCGCCTCACTCATGTGTGGGAGAGTAAGAGAAAGACATCTGCTACTTTTGAGCTGTAAAATAATAAAATGATTCCTTGGTACAAAGGCTCGAGCGGTGAGAACACGCTGACCAAAGATTGACGGGCTCAAGCATGTATCTTCCGTTTCTTAGAAAATTCAAAACTCATTCCCTGGAGTACAGGTGTTCCTGCGAGAAATCCGAACCCCGTTTGTTGCAAGGCAAAAACAAACCAGGCATTGTGGGGAGCCCTAACGCTACCAAAACGTAGCCCTAGCTGATAGAGTATGACACCAAGGTTTCAGAACCTAGCGTCTTTGAATTCAATATTGATAAACAATTACCAAATATTTTCAACGAGAAAGTGGTGGTAAAGGAGCTTACAAATAAATAAGTGACGCTACCGCAAACGGGCCCCATTTTCCAATAAAAAACCTCCGAAAATTGCTTATAACTTTTTGATTTGAAGATGGCATGTTGGAAAACAAATTTTGCTTCTGCCGGTGCGGCTACATTCCGGCGGGGCTAGAGCTTTCCACACTGTTTATTTTATTTATTTTTTTATATTTTTCGGGAACAAAAGCACGGTTTGGTGTTCTCGCAGTTTGTCAAGGCGTATATTCACGCATTTGCCCAACGTACGGGCTCGAGCTCGCCATTCTCACAAACAGGCAAATGGACGCGTAAATTGTATCATCATTTCGGTGGGAGCATCTCGTTGGCCAAGTTTTAAACAATGTGTGTCCCCCTGGATCAAATCGTCTCGAGGTCAGCTCTGCCCCTAGTTTCGTGAATTGTTTATAGTTCCAGTTTTATTATAGTTCTAATCTTCCCTAACCAGGTGTATGTTCACCACTAAGCGTAAATTCATGATATGGAAGCCGCCTCCGCTCAAGGCTCCCTAGAGCAGCAGCAAGGATAACCGCAGCACATAGTCAATAGGGTTCGTTCAAAAAATGGATGTATCTCCAAAGGACTATGCTGCATCTGACTCTCGAGTTGAGACATGTGCCGTGTTGACGAATGGAACAAAATTGTGGCTAGCGTACGTACAACCTCAGCAGGACGATGAAGAAGATCCAATCACAGAAGAGGACACACCAAAAATCCCTGCAAAAGAAAATGAAAAAACTGAAGGCCTTTGTGATCCAGCAGATCACTGTGCAAGACAAGGTGCATGCAAGCCTCGACAGAATCGCTCAGTTTACAACCACTGCCATACTGAGTACTCAAGTTCAGCAGGAGATACCTATGTTTTGTGCAAAGTGCTTAACATAGTACTAAGTGCAACTGAGAATGCTCAAGTGCAGCATGCGATAACTACATGCTGTACAAAGTTCTAAGCACTAAAACATTCTGGAATTGCAAACAAATCTGTTAAAATATTATCCAGGCACCTGATTTTTACATTTGTAGATAACTTTGCAGATTCACTTGAGCAAACTTTTTCTCGAAGTCAATTTAAGTTTGTTCAAGTGAAGTTTTACTGTATTTGCACACCCTAAAAGAAGAAAAATGAGGATGAAACACTTAGGTTTGGTAATGTGTAGGAATGCGAAAGCATTCCTACATGCAGCCCATTCCTACAAGCAGCGAGCCATGTCTCCCTTTTTCACACGGCACTTCGGTGGTGACGTCATGCTCCCCCACTGTGCACGCAAGGCGAACCCCTCCGACATCACGACGGCTTCCGTGACGAAGCATCGGCATTGCTGTGCTTTTCATTGTATTTTATCCCTGAGGCACGCCAGCTTTGACCTTGGGCGGTGCGTGCTTGATGACATAGTTTTATGAACATCTTTTGGGCACAACGCCGATGCGTTTTCGCATAATGAAACAAGGCTTCCGCAAGCTTTTGAAACTCACGGATTATCTCGGGCAAAGTGCAGGCTTGCCAATTCCCAGGTTCAGTTTTACACTAAAAGACCCCAATCCTCAGTTCTCTCCTGGCACATTCCCAAGATTAACTCTTTGCTTTCTGGGTGTGGATTTCTTGGTTGGTGTTTCTTCAAGACCATCACATAAACTGCCCGGTCACAAACGTGCAAGTGCCCAAGATTTAATGTATGTGCAAGCGCCAAAAATTTAATGTAAGTGAAAACATTCTACTTTAACAAAAATAAAATATTGTTATTCTTGTATTATTAAACGTCCAAAAACAGAGTCAGCATCTCTTCATGTAATGGAACCTATGGCAGCATATGCCCAAAACTAAAATGTGAATTTATTTATATTTTCCATTGACTGAACATTTGAAAGTGGCAAAGATAAATTATTCTTTCAGTCAATATCTATATGCAAGTGTCTTCACTCACTGGAAAGTCAGGTCTGTGCAACCTTGATATAAAAATAAAGCAAGGATTCCAAGCACTTGTGTGAAATCGAGCGGAGAGCAAATCGTCTGCTTCATGCGCAGGAACTGCGGAGAAGTCTGAACAAGGGCGAGTTCTAATGGTAGTTCTAATTTAGATGCCTTGAGGTCTAGCGACTATTTTTTTTTTTTAATAGCCAATAAGAGCTTGGTGTTCTGACATCATCACAACCGCTGTGGAAGAAGCAGACAAACTTTCGCTCCGCATAGAGACCCGGGCTATGCTCAACAGCCATGGGCTGCAGCGTCTTTTATGTCACGGAGATCTCTCGTATCAAAGCCTTGCAGTCAAGCGCACAACACTATGGCACCTTTCCCCTCTGCATAGAGACCCGGCTATGCTCAACGGCCATGGGCTGCGGCGTCTTTTATGTCACGGGGATCTCTCGAATCAAAGCCGTGCAGTCAACCGAACAACATTATGGCATCTTCATAGCAACCGGGCACACAGAACACCACAAAACCGCGAGTGAATTACAAAACAAAACTTTGACAATATGTTGCCTCTTAAAACCATGCAATGAATACCCAAACCAGAATGGATTTTCGGCCCCCGTCAAGGCGCCGGAATACCACCCTCCCCATATGGGAACTTAACGCTTTATTTGCCCAACATCCACCCACCACTGCCATGAACCTCTCTTAAAATTCCTAGTTTGCTGCTTTCGTCTTCGTTAAGTGCCCACCCAACCCTTATCACCGGGCACACCTTTTTCTGGGATCTGGACTTCTTGTTTAGGCTCCCTACGAGAGCCAGAGTTGCGCGTACAGCCATCTTGAAATATTGAATTATGATGAAAAACCATTTCTCACACGTGTAGGAGCCGTACTTAGTCGATTGCGCCCGGTCATGTGATTGAATACGGCGAATAGCGGCGCCGCGCACGCCGCCACGAATGGAAAACGGGAAAGGAGGAGAAAGAGGCAAAAGCAGGGGAACATACGTAAGGGCGTGTGCGTGCGATGTCGGCAAAGTGACTTATCTGCACGGCACCGGATTTCTTGCTCCTCACATGATTGATCGCGGCGAATAGCGGCACGGCAGCGCGTGGAAAACAGACGCACATCTGTGACTCTTGTAGGGAGCCTATACAGGAACTCTATTTGGACTCAACTGAGGATGCCTCCCTGGCGGAAGATCTCAGAATTATCATGAACCCCTAGGAGTCCCAGGACAGCTGTACAAGAGCTGCTCTAGACTACGACCGGCCGTAGTCAGGCCACTGAAACTTTTTCTATGTTTATTAAAGAGGTGGAATCGAACTTACCGGGGTCTGAAGACTGATTTGGCTCCATATGAACTGTAGGATGGGGTCAGGCTCCAAAGACACCCGCCAAACACCGTCTCACTGAAGGCAAGCCGTTTTCCACAAGGCATCCATAACTGTAATCATGATGCACGTTTAGACAGTGAGAGGTTAGAGAGCCCCAATGGGTGTCTGTCATCTCCACCGTAAATAAGGAATTCTGCCAGTGCAGTACGACCGCTAGCCCGGAGTCCTTAACGAGCACCAAGCAGTGGCGAAACTCGACCGGACACCGGTCAACGCTTGTCCAGATTGAAAATTGAGAACTAATCCTTGATGTGGATAACTTGCAAAAACACCGATTCGTTTTCTTCTCTGCTAAATGGCAGATGCGGAAAAAAATCAAGGAAAAATAAATGCTTTCCCTCCTCAGCTCAATGGGCGCGTTCAGTAGAGGCCCCGGAGTCAAGGAGTCACTGACTCCTTCCACTAGACGGCCAAAAGTCACTTCCGGTGCACGTAACTCCGGGGCTTCGGAGTCAAGCTCCGAAGCACCGAGTCCGGAGACGGTGCACGTAGAGTCAAAGGAGCTAAAGATGGCGTCATTTCCTGACTGGTGACGATTTCCGGGGAATTCGGCGGGAATATCCAGAAAAGGTTTCGAATTCTCCCGTGCGTCTGCTGCCATGGCTGCATCGATGACATCCACTGCTTCCGAAAGCCCCGTTTATCTGGTTGAAAGCGACGACGGTAAGGGACAACTCATGCGCTAACGTTCCGTCTCACCTCCTTGTGTTTCATTTCGTGTTGAAAATAAGAACCTCTCCGTATATGTCGTTTTTTTCTTACAGGACGCTGCACTACTCCTCTCTATATTAGTATCGGTGAGTACCTCCATATTTCGCTGATCGCATTCTTGCATTTGAAATTGACATCGCTCATTTAAATTGTCGGCGAAAATTAGTTGTCGGTGAGTGTGAGCGTTGCGCGACAAACGCGAGCCATCGCCGATCGGCATTTTTCACTCACTTTATACTGCAGCCCAATTCCGCTTGCGCACGGCCGCTGCATTTCTATCGATATTTTGGTAGAGCTCAGCTAGATACTTCCACCGCTCAAGCGCTATTGTTGCTGTGGGCCTTCCTTGTATCGAAGTGCGAGCCACTTCCCCTTGCACTAACAAACAATCATTTGATCATGCTTCTTGTTTTGATCACATCTTCATAAACTTCGCTAGCGTGCACATTCTGTCGTGTGAATATGCATTGCAGTGTGTTACGTAAAAGTGCTGTAATGCAACTGCTTTCCCTTGTTGACAACTTCGCAATTTTTTTTTGTTTATAGTCAGTGGTCATCAGGAGTTGGACCCGCAGCCATGTAGCAGCAGGGAGTGCGACGGTATGAATCTCACATATAGCTTGGGTTCTGAAGGGAATTTCTAAAAGCCAAAAATATTCTCTCGTGTGAAAAGACAGCTTCTTTCTGGCCTAAAAAGGCTGTTAGCAGCATGCCGGCTGTCACTCTCTGGCTTCCAGGAGGCTTGAAGTCCTTCCTGCCAGTGTTAACTAACCTCGTGTTTTGTCTATAGTTGCATGTAATGGGGCTTTGATGATTGCTTGGCCTCCCCGGCATCGCCTACAGCTGTATATATAAGGTTTGGTGTTTAAAAGGTCATGAACTGATAACCTTAATAATTACATTTGATGTTTTGGACATTTTAGATCATGAAGGAAGCCCTGATGAGGCTGGTGAAGGAGGGGCATGGTCCCGCAGCGAGGTGTTGTTGCTGATTTCACTTTATGAAAAGTACTATGCTGACTTCAACAACCGAAAGTTGAAGAAAAGAACAGTGTGGAGGAAGATCAGTGTAGAAATGAATGAAGCTGGTGCCCACAGATCGCCAGACGACTGCGAAAACAAATTCAAAGGTTTGAAGCGGACTTACACTAGAAGGCGGCAAGATAAAAGGAAGACAGGACGAGGGCGCAAGGATTGGGAATTTTATAAACATATGGACAACCTTTTCCAAGATACGGCCGAGTACACTGCCCCGGTGTGCACGAGCATGCCGGTCGTTCCTGCAGCCTCAGTCACCGAGTCCCAAGTCATCATCCCAGCCAGCACAGGGCCGTCAGCCACCACCACAGCTCTAGCCATTGCCATGCCCTCCCAAGCCGGCACTGTGTATCCGCAGAGCGCACAGACTCCAAGGTCAACGAGGCAGCCTGAGCTCCCGCAAGCAAGGAGGAAGAGGCCGGCTGCGATCCTGGGAGAAATCCTTGAAAGGATGGACGCATGGGAACAAGAAGACAGGCAGCGGTACAGGCAGCAGCTGAAGCTGCAACGTACTAAGCTCCGACTGCTGAATCGCCTTGTATGTCAATCTAAACAGTCTCAGCAGCCTTAAAGGGATGCTGAACCGAAATTTAGAGTTCGGAAAACAATGCAGAAGCTGCAGACGGGACGCTACAATCCCTACAACACTACTCGGAAGGCGATATCTCGAATCGACAGCCATATTTTTGGAAAAAAAGTCGAGATTGAACAAGGCCGATGAGGCACGTGACGTCAAGATATCTCGTTTCCTCCTCTCTTCGTTTCGCTGCCTCAAGGCGGCGAGGCAGAGAAGACTCGAGGTCGTTTCCTTTTCTCGATTCTTCTCGGAGAAACAAGACGTCAACATACGTGTCAAATGCGCCTCCTTGTTTTTATAAAAATATGGTCATCTGTTCGAGATATCGCTGTATGAGTGATGGTTTGGTGTTTGTGGCATCCTGTTGCACGCTTCTCGCCGCTGTATTTTGTGGAATCCAGATTTCGGTTCAGCATCCGATGCTGAACCGAAATTGGATTCTACAAAACACGGCGGCAAAAGCGTGCAACAGGATGCTGCAAACACCAAACCATCACTCATACAGCGATATCTCAAACAGATGACCATATTTTTATTAAAAAAAAAGGAGGCGCATTTGACGTGTATGTTGACGTCTTGTTTCTCCGAGAAGAGGGAACAACCTCGCGTCTTCTCTGCCTCGCCGCCTTGAGGGGGTGACGCGAAGAGAGAAGGAAACGAGATATCTTCACGTAACGCGCCTTGTCGGTCGTCCATTCGAGATATCGCCTTATGAGTGGCGTTGTAGGGATTGTAGCATCCCGTCTACCGCTGCTGCATTGTTTTCTGAAATCCAAATTTCGGTTCACCACCCTTTAAAAGGTACACCGAAGGGGTTGGTGCTTACGTCATTTTATAGCTCTAATTTATTCTCTGTGCTCCAAGGATTCAAGAAATCTAGAAACTGTTGTTACACGTGCCCCACTTCAATATAAAAAATGAGATGTTCGTTAGAAATCTGACAAAAATGCTGCAGAGGGGTGAAGGGGCAAAAATGAATTAGTGAAACCAAGTGAAACACGCTTGGTTCATGCCTTGGGCCTGCGAGTCAGCTGTAGACAAGATCTTTTCATAGTCGCCGTGCCCATTTATTCATGTGACCTCGAAAGTCATTTTGCTTAGACTAAATGCTCTTCACAATGCTCCACTAGTTCTTCTTAGTTCCTCCTTTTTTCCCTCGAGCCATTCTTGTTGACAGTTTGGCTTTGAATGCGTGTAATGCAGAAGGACGCTATAAATTTCTCGATTTCTAGGATCCTTGGAGCAGATGCACGAAACCAGAGCCACAAAAAGAAAAAGTTAAAAACCTCTTTAGTCCACCTTTAAATTTCACTTGTCCACAGTGATGGTCATTTAGTGTGTCGTTCTGCGGCATGAAAAGAAAGTATAGCAAAATGCTAACCTTACTAGTCAGGCCAACTGGAACAAGCATTTTCGTACTGAACCTTAAGAGCTGCATATATTGTTTGTAACAGTTAATGTTTCTTTTTACAGTTTTCTTTTGCAGAAGCATGCCAGACTTGTCTGTGTTTCGAGTTGCTGGAAAGTACAAATACAGTAGTAAACAAAAAGTAGATTCATAGTTTTTGCTACATTTTGGTTGCTGTCTGTACACTTCATTTAGTTCTTACTGGTCATTTTGCGAGTTGTTTTTTTGGAAAATAAATGAGCATTACTTTAGGCAAATATCGCCTATCAGGAAAGTCACTCCAAGTGTTTCATTTGTAGTGCTAAAAATGACCCTGTGGTTTAAGTTTATGAATAAAACTGCAGTTTTTTGCTCAAAACTATAGTTGTTTTTTTCTTGTTGCAGCCTCCGTCAGATTGCGGGCACCTTAGTTTGGGATATCAGTGCATTCTTATGTTATTAAGTACAGTTTGGCTTCTGGACAAGTGAAATTTCTAAGCTATACCAGAGTCCTGGCTATACATTCCCCCTACATGAATGATTTTCTGATCCCAGATGCCACTGCGTTCATGTTTCTCTGTTCTTGAGATCCGACCACGGGCCTGTGATTTTTTTATATTGTGACAAGTTCTAGTCAACTTTTAAGGTTTTTGAACTTAATAAATACCATTGCTTGAATTGTTTTGTGCAAAGCTGTATCACTTGTGTCTGTCTTGTTCCAGGCATTACAGTATTATTGTTATATTGGACGTTCTGAGTGACTCAGTTCCAAAAGGAAAGTCCAAGCGTACGCTCAAGATACATTATTCTGAAATAGTTACTAAGGATGGGGAGAAGTATATTGCCTGCATGTACAAATATTGCTAAAATATGTTTTAACTGGGGACAACCTACATTCAGGCACTATAATATTGATGGGCACAGGTTGCAAGCCACCAGTTCATTTGTGCCAATTTTTTTATTTTGTCTGCATTTGGTGGTATTTTAATTCGCAAAACTTTTGCAAAAGAACTTGTGGAGTAACAATGTGAATATGTAGCTCTAATAAATTGTAATAAGGGCATAAAAGACAGGAAAAAGCAGGAGGGGGAAACATTGGTAAAACTCTCCAAAAAGTATACTCGAGCAACAAAAAATGTGTTCTAGTCAATTGCCTTATTATTGACCGATTTTATCAATTTAGTTTTGCTAAAGGTTGAGAACCGAGGAGCTGAAGAGATACAGTGGTCTGTAACATGGCAACCTCATTCTTCAGGTGCATGCAGGGTGCAGCAAGCTAGCGATTGCGTCGCGTTTAGCTTTTGCAGCAGAAGGCGCTCTTGTCATGTCTGGTTGTTTGCGCACCAGGCATGGATCCTCTAGTTCCTCCGTGCAAAGAACAAAGGGCTTTGCAGACGTGAGAATGACATTATGAAGAACGCACGCCGCCATCACAAACATGGGAACCATGTTAAGGTTGTCCATGTCTAGGTGTTTCAGACGTCGAAACTTTCCTTTCAATTGGGCAAAGGCCCGCTCTATCACTGACCGCGAGGCACCTAATGTTGTGTTGAATTTACTTTGTCTCCTCGTTAGATGCCCATTGTCCTTGTAAGGACGCATCAGGTTCACCCCGAGGGGATAAGCGGAGTCGCCGAGGATGTGGAGGTCCTCGGGAAGGGCGCTAAGAATGTCGTCTAACCCAGAATTGGTGAGGATGCGTGCATCGTTCATCCGGCCCGGGGATCCCACATGCACGTGTGTAAACACCATCCTGCTGTCGCAGCAGCCTTGGAGCACAACGGAGTGGAACTCCTTCCTGTTGTAGAAGGCAGACTGCTCTTCTTTGGGAGCCTTGATAGAAACATGGCACCCGTCCACGGCACCCACAACGCCTGGGAGCCTCCACTTCCGTTCGAACTGGCTGGCCACCTGGGCAAGCTGCGTGGGCCACTGTATTACAGAGGGTGCACACCGTGCCCATACCAACACAATCTCGTAGACCACGAAGTGGAGGGTGCTCTTGTGTACACCAAACCTGTCAGCGACGCCACGGTACGATTCCTGATTTCCTAAGAGCCACAACGTCATGAGGACCTTGGTGGCTGTTGGCACCCGGACTCCAATGGTCTTGGCTAGGTTAGGTTCAGTTAATTGGAGCAAGACCTGGAATGTGTGGAACCGAACATTTAATCAATGAAAACAAGAAATACAATGATGTGATTGGCTCGAGCCATTTTGGAGCAGCAGAAAGAACTTTTAAAGCAGGCATATACCTATACCCTATTTTCATTGATTCTACTCTGATGAGGAGAGAGAGTGCTAGCATTATTGAAGCTAGCACTCAATAGTGTGAATTGCAGGGCAGATAATCTAATTGCCCAGAACACGCAATTGGCTCTTTAGTTTGGGTTAGTAGCACAGTCACGCGACAAAAATGTTGTCACGAACTATCTTTTGTTTAGAAATTCCAGCCACTGTTTTTATTACCAGTAGATTTACACAAAACGCAAAATCGCCATGTGAGAAGATAAATATTTATTGTAAAAGGAAACAAGGGTTACAGGGCTCAACTTATAAAGATGAATTCCCCAGCTTGCACTCAAACACTGCTAACGCTTGCTTGGCTTTACGCTTAATAGCCACAAAGAAAATATTTTTCTTTTAGCTCACTAGGGACGAGCGCGTGTGCTATCTCGCCCTGAGGGAGTGTTTTTCCCTCAAGTACGCAGCTGCGCTACGGCGAAGCACCCTTCAAAGATGGGCTTGTGTCACTCCTTGTCTCGTTTGGTTATTTTTTCTACGTGATATATCGTGACTCTTCATCGCTATGATATTTTAATATTTCAACACAAGCCCATCACGCCTTAAACATTATTAAAATTTTCCCCTGAGTGGCCAGACAGAAATCCAGACCTCCCGCGCTGTATTTTTGTACTATATTCCGAACATATGCTTGTGGGGTTACCTCGAACGTCGAACGGTGCATCCTGAAATGCTCCTTGAATTGGGTATCTGTGTAGCGAGGGACAACATCGGAGACAAATCCCTCAATCCCCCGGATACGGTCGGAGTCCGACGGTCTAGCGGGATCTGCGGAGTGTGTAGAGAGACACTGTCACGATTATGTCGGCCATCATCATGCATGCTTACCTTCACAAATGACTTCTTTGAGGGCTCCAAGCACCTCGGTGACTCTTCGTCGCTTGGTTCGCCTCTGCGCCTCCATGAATTCTTCAAAATCATCCTCCAAAACAACTTGGAGAAGCGCGTTGGCGGCGTTGTCGTCTGCTGCCATAGCGCGCGCTTTTTTTTTCTTTTTTTTTTCTTGGGCAGGATGTTCGCGCGCGAATTTGACGGAAACGGAAATGCGCAAACACTCGGCCGCGCGGCGGCGCAAGCGGCGCCCTTATTTCCCGTCTAGTAGGCGCTCTGAGGGCTCTGACTCGAGTTACTCTGTCCGGAGACGAAGGAGCCGCTACTGAACGCGCCCAATAGAACAACCGGTCACTTGATCTGACGCTAGTTATACGCTGTCAGTGTTCATCATAATCATGCGCTGAAGCTGGCAAAGCATAGCGCACGGGCTGAGCTTCAGACATTGTTTAAGTTGGGCTATTCACATCTTGAATTGAAAGCGAGCCATTGCCCGAATCTGTAGCGATGCTGCAGGAACGACGCGGAACACCACACCGGGTGCCGCTGACACTGGATCATCTAAACAGCGCACAAAATCGAGACAGAAGAAACAAGGGAGGCACAGACATAGCGCCCTTTTAACTTGCTAAGTAAGGTAACCCGTTTGTTGAATAAGGAGAAGTCTAAAAGTCTCAGAACATGAATGAAATCGAGCTCACCTCGAAAAGCTCGCTGAACCCGCTGAACCAATTTCAGTGCCTGGCAAAAGAGTCGAAAAACAACAAACCGCCACTGTCGTTGCAGGCGCGACTAGTTGCCACTAGGCGCGCCACTGAAACAGGTCCTTTGCGTATCTATCAGTGGCGACACCGCGTATCCATCAGTGGCGAGTACTGAAAGCGCTGAAAGGGCTGAAAAGAGAAGTGACCGAAGCGAAGGGTGACCCAAAGCCACTGCACTTGGCGAGCGCCTATCCAGAGATCTGCCCGTGCCTAGATCTGGGGACAACGCCAGTGTAGGGAAAACCGCTCGTAGGGAATCCGTTCGGATGGTAGTGATGATGATGATAATCATGTCATATAACGCCTGAGACTGTGGTCGAAGAAATTGGAAACTTTTTAGTAGAAGGATCAGACACAAAAAGGGACGTCTCAAACTCAGCTAACCGGTTTATTTCTCGATTATCCTATATCATGATTGACTTGCCCACTGGCGCCACCCTGGCCTCGCTGTTTTCAACGGTTCTCAGGTGCTCAGGTTGCCGGAGCGGCGTGTTTGAACCACAGGTTTGAACCACAGGCACCACAGGTTTGAACCGTTTCAACGGGAGTAATGGCAAAACGGACGGAGTAGCACTGCGTGGCCTCGCAATCCCAGCGACCCGACGAGCTCGCAAAGCGGTGCTCGGAAGACGACCCTCCCAAAGCCGACGACGCGCACTCACCTCTGTGGACAGCGAAGAAACATCGTCGCACTGTGACAACGGCGACTAGTACACGGCATTTATTTTTTGTTGGCGTTCGTTTCATAAAACCCGTCTTTAAGGTATGTGTTCAATCTTCATTATTTTACCTGCGCGGTAGAACCGGCCAACATCTGAAAGCTAAATCAGCCTGCGCGTTAGAATCGTGAAAACACGGCTAAGCGAATCTGCTGCGTCCTCAACCCCTTTTACCATGACACAGGATGTCGTAGCAGAGTCTTGCGTGTTTATCGCATCATAAAACGCAAATATGCCGTGTCCGCAATTCGCGGTATCAGTTCCCGTTTTATGTGGTTTGTAGCGGATAGCCCAGTTGCTTATCGCGTTTTTTAAAATAAATTTTTGCTGTCGCATTCCCAAAGATAGCCCACCCCATGTTTTTCCCAATTTATCTCTTCATTTTGGTTGGACATCCTTACGGGATTTTACGGTAGTTTTGCTTTGTCTCCTGCATAAGTCAATGTCCTTTCCACTTTTCAGGAGCTTGTGACCACCCTCAAAGGCTTGACGAGCTACGTGCTCGTATTCAAGTTGGTGCCACGAGGTGGGCCTTTCGGGCATGCCAGGGAGGATGAGAGGCTGTCCCTGAACCGCCTACTAGTACAAAAAGGTGTTGCCCTCGGCGTTACCATCGTGAATGTTGACCGACGTAAGTACATGGAAATTTCACCCCTGGTGCACTGTCCTTTTGAGTTACATGTGACATGCCCCTTGTGACGAGATGTCATCTTCCGTGTTATTGGTAGCAGGTATTCATAATACCTCTGAAATGCTGTTCATTGAGAGTGACAAGGTTGGGCGGATATAACCTAAAAAGCATTTGAAATGACAAATACTGGAATACACAGCAGTGACAGCTAAAGTACTGATACTAAAATACATTTATAAAAGGAGCATTGCAAAACAACTCAAATATGTATGACTAAAAAATGGGTGACAAAGTATCTTTAAATATGTTTTGTTTGAAGGAGAAATCCTGATACTGAAATATGGGGGGCAGTCAGTTCATTGAACGACGTTTCATTGACAGTTCGTTTCATCGACAGTTTGTTACATCGACAGCTCGGATAAGCTTTTTTTCTGTAGTGACTCCCCGCAGAATGTTGCTGCGAAGCAGCTTGAGTGGGTGGGCCCACTGATCTCTACTAAAGGGGGCTGGATGGCGCTTAGCTGCTCTCCGAGCCTGGCGCAAGTGAAGCCACCGGAAGTTTGATTCTTGTCCCGGAAGCTTCCTAGTGCATTCAGTCAATATTTTGGACCATGCTTTTTTGTTTCTTTGATTGGGTTTTAATACTCCCGTTCTGGATTAAATCCCGAGAATGAGGCATTTGAACTTGAGACATATTCACAACTTGATCAACTAGAATCTCAAAATGTTTACATTGAATGGCTTCCATGATACTTCTCGGGTCCACATGCACTCTTAATGCGCAACAAGCAGGCTCTCTTGAGGGAACAAGCGAAAATCCAGCGCCCTCAACGCTTTTCGAACCAGCACTCGGAAGGGTTACAAAGCCTGCCAAGCACTCACTTCCGGGACAAGCCGCTCACCTCCGGTGGCTTCATACTTGTTTGCTCAATGCGCATACATCCAGCCCTCTCTAGTGGAGATCAGTGGGTGGGCCTTGTCGTGAGGATGACGCCAAGCCCTATGCCGTTACATACCCAAGGCGAGTTCCTCTTCCACTGCTCTCACAAGTGGAGAATGAATTGGAAAGGATGAAAGAAATGGGAGTCATCAAGAAGGTGGAAAAAGCAACGGAGTGGTCCGGCATCCTGCGGTACAGTGACACGGCCAGCAGCCCAACCAAGGTCCTATATTGTAAGCACATCGACAGGACTAACACGACGCACCGGGCAGGGGCTCCGGAAGCGGGGGGGGCAGGGTGGGCTTGAGCCCCTCCTGTCCTCAGGACCGAGCTGCCGAGCCCCCCCTCCCCCTCCCTCGTTTTTTTTTTTTTTTTTTAGTTTGTGTGTTTGCAGGTTATCTGGTATGGGCCTTCGGCCTATCTGCTGTACCTCCGTCTCTCCTGAGCCGAAATAAATGAAATGACTCTTTATGCATGCTGACCTACCGCTCTCCTCACCTCCGCCAAGCACAAAAAGCACCGGGGCGACGGAGAGGCTTGCTTGAAAAGTCAAAACCAGAAGAAAATGACAGGCAGGACTCATGAGCCTGATTGACAACCAGTTTAAAGCGAGCAAAGAGGAGACAGCAAAAGGAATAGATTCCGACAAGACGACGTCGGCGAGCGTTTGTCTGCTTCCCCCGTGTGGAAGCAAGAGGCCCAGAAGATGCATGGTGCTTCTGGCCCGCGGACAAAACAGGCAGGCGGTACTACCGCGGCGCTTAAAGGCCATCATTAGGAGAGGGGGGGGGGGGGGGGGGGGGGGGGGGGGGGGGGGGCTGGTGAGCTTGAGTGGGGATTCGGGAGTGCTTAGAAAAGGCGAAAGTCTACGAGCTCCCAAATTTGACAAGGCGCCTTCGATGGCGAAAGCTTTGCGCGCATGCGGCGTCGTGCCCGCAGGGTGGTGAGGCATGAGGCGACACATGTTTACAAACTCAGGACAACACAACACGAAGTCTGAAACACAGCTCTTATCCTTCAGTACCCTCCTTTTGTGATGCCCCCCCAACTTGTATTGACGCCAGGAGTCCGAAGCGATCACGGTCGATGTACTTGATCCTGAGGTACATACCGATGTATGCAACCTCTGCTTCCAGTTAAGACATCCGATGGCCCAACTTGCTGTGTTTGAGACTCCGTGTTGTGTTGTCCTTTTTTCCCCCCGAGTCTCGGGGTTTTGTCTAAAACTTTTAACACTTGTTTGTCTACGTCTGCGTTAATACATCATGCTTCCCCGAGAATCCCTAAATGAAGGAAGGTTTTCATTCTTAGACATAGCCAATTTGGCATAGGCACAGCTGCGGTTGACATGTAACAGTTGGTATAGGAAAGAAAAAATAAAGAACACATGGTGCGGCTGATTTCAGTGGTTATCCAATCATTGTATGAGTTGTCAGTGCAAGCTTCTTACTGTTATTTTACTGAACCATTGTTTTAATTTGTTTTCCATGGATATGTCCGTGAATATGCGAACGCGGTGCATTAATATGTTTTCATTCAAATGTGGCAATTAATGTCAACCTGAAACCAACCTAACCTTGAGGATTTCGGAGATGTCGAGCCCCCCCTCTAAAGAAAGACTTCCGGAGCCTCTGGCACCGGGAGTCACGTGCAGCCAACGGCGGTCAATGACCAAGCAGACCACCAGACAGGTTGGACTTCTCGGCTCCCTAATCCTAAGAAAGGGGGGGTGTCGTGAGTGGCATTGCGAGCGACCACCGACTGCAGCGCCGCAACGCGCCTATGCGCGGAGTACTTTCGCTCCGGGAGGCCAGCGGACGGGGGGAGAACGGCGCAACCATGCGAGGACATGGCTGTATGTCGCGACTACACGTATTGCCTTTAACCCGCAATAAACTGTTCTTGTTATACCCGAACAACGGCTACGACAGGCCTGGTGTGTTAATATTTCTGTAGTGAGCCACCACAGTTGGTCGCTGCAAATGACGTAGACGGGCGGGCCGGGTAAGTTAGAGGGGCACTGACACATCAAAATCATATATTTTTTTATTATCCGAAACAATTGAAAACGATGCCGGGACATTACCCTCAAAATTCAAAACTTGGAAATTCAGTATTTGTGAAGTAAAAAAACAATTTCCAAATGCCGATTTCGAAGTTCCCGCGCGATCGGCGCGGTGCCTTGACGTCAAAAACTGCGGAGACCTGAGAGTCGACTTTCTTTCACCACTCCCTGCTGTTGCCATGGCGACCCAAAGCGAGGAGGAAAGGAGTGGGCGGCGGCGTTGCGGCGGACCGGTTTTGAGCGGTGTCGCCTATTTTCCGTTGGAGGATACAAATCCAGGAGACGGCACCAAAACAAACTCCCGATTTTTGGTATTTCAAAAAGAAGGGCCGTAGTGCGTTCGCAATTGCGTTAAAAAACATGTTTTACGATTGCCGTTATTAAATGCTATAGAGATGTCGCCTACAAAGATTCTAAATTTCCTGATTTTTGACGTCACCGATCAAAAGAAGCGAGGAGGCGAGAGGCGGGAAAATCAAACGCCAAAAATAAAAAGGCGCGCGCGCTGCGCGCGGGAAAATTTTTTTTCGCGATGCGGTTTTTTTTGCGTGTCTATGACTGCAACTTGCATCGTTTTAGACAATAAAAATAAATACGACCTTTGGGGTGTCAGTGCCCCTTTAATGCATGCCCCAGTGACACACACAACGAAACATCACAACATCGTACAGTTAGCGTAACGATTGTCGATGGCATGTCAGTGTCGACCAGGGGCGGATTTAGAGGGGGGTTCCGGATGTCCTGACCCCCCTCTTGATTTCTGCTTGTGTAAATTTTAGGGCGTAAAACGAAGGAGAGGGGGAGGGGGTCCCTAAACATATGGTACGCTGACCGACACCTGACCCCCCCCCCTCAGGAAATTCCTGCATCCGCCCCTGGTGTCGACGAAATGTATGTCAATATGTCGTTTGATTAAAAGTTGTCGATGAGATGTCTGTCGATGAAACAAAACAGATCCCAAAATGTAGGTTGCCACAGTAGCGGGGTTTGCTATAAAATGAAGCAAAAAATTATAGTCTGGATGTAGCAAGCTTCATATTTTGTCACAGGTGTATTGCAGTGGTGGATGTTACCATGTGAAAGTTAAAGGCACTAATTTGTTTGTGCGAAAAATCGGAAGAATATATGCAAGATTTTCAGTTATGAATGCTGATGTTGACAGCCGAGGGTTGTGTTTCGTTCTCGTGTTGAGAGATGGCAGAGCACATCACGGAAAGTAGACCGCACTGTTGAGCAACGGGTCTACGGCAGGGTGTCTCGACCCCAATTGCGTTTTTCTGTTGTGGCTTTCATGTCTGCGTGCATGGCTATATTGTCACGAATAACAAATGGTGAGGCGGCGAATAACTGAAGAAACTAAACGTTTAATGGGGCGAACTTGTGCCCAAAACAAAATCGAGAAAGGCTAGCGTCGCAGGCGTCAAAACAGCAGGATTGAGCGCTGGGAAGAGTCTGACTTCGCTCGCCATGCGGAGTCCCTTTTGTAACTGCGTGGGTTTCTGGAACATTCGGCCTAGACATTTCGGTGCGTAGATTATTCGTAGCTCGGCCAGACAAGCAATTTCTCGAATTTGCGAGAACGCCAAGTAGAAAGAATAAATAAAAGAACATTCCGCTGCCTGGAATCAAACCCAAATCTTCTGCGCTACAATCAAGTGCAGCAACCATTTGGCCATGTACGCGCTCGCTCAGCGACGTCCGTGAAAATATTAGAAGAAAGCTGTGTTACAGCAAGATTATCTTCAGCCTCGTCGGACTCGCCATCACGGGTTTTTCTAATTGCAGCACGTTGCTCCATCTCCCAACAGGAGCACCAAACATTGCTTTCGGCCATCTGCGTCCTGACACAGGTTGCTAATGCTTTGCAAAAACAAAGCTGCACCTTTCGATTCTACAAGGTAACACCCATCACTAATGTA